CATTTCTGAACGATATGGCTGAGAAAGGACCACAGGGCCGGGCGGGACGGAGAAAATGGAGTTTCATGGATGGTGCTGCTCCTTCACCTAGCCGAAGGAGAAATGCACAACGCGCGTTTTTGTGGTTGACGTGTGGTCTTTTGTTTTTTTCTTTTCCTTTTGTCTCGCTGGATGTAAAATGCAAGCACAATTGCAGGTACAGTGCGGGCTTTGTAATGTGTTTGATTGCAAACACAAAAGTGAACAAGAAACCAACAGTAATTCATTTCGCTTATTGTTTCGCGTTTTTCTTTCTTGTCAACAATACGCCATCGTCAAGAACACAGCTCTCGCAGAAGGAAAACAAAAAAAAATTAAATTCTCCTTCAATTGCTCCAATTCGACTACACTCTCCGCCCACGCCAACACATTACCAAAGGTGTTCTAGACACTTGACCAAAAGGGAAAAAAAAGCCAAGGCCAAGGGTTACGGGTATGTTTGTTATGCAGGCCCCTACATACCCAATATGCAATGCAGCAGGGCGAGGCGAGGTAAAAGGCGGGGAAATACCTCAATAATGAAACGCATTCAGACAAGACAGACGGACCTAAAAAAGAGCGCAGCAAACCATGGAACCACATAGAAGAAAATGCCTCATACGAAGTGGCAGGTTTATGAACACTATAATTCATTGCATGCAAAAGCAAAGGCGTAAAGTAAAGTAAACGAAGGAGGTGCAGCTTAACCTTGAACTTTTTTTGGAAGTCGAGAGCAGAAAAGAATTTAGTTCCTAGATCGAAATCGAAAAGGAACTATTATGTATCTTTGATGAGCGAAAGCGCAAAAAAAATAGCGGTGCTGGACATGACCTTTCAGAAGACGAGGAAGAGCTCGGGACAGGGTAACCAGGATTAGCAGGCACAAGGTAGGATGACCAATGGTTGTACTCTAGAATTGTGAGAGGAGGTTGAGTTCCCGGGGCAGCTAAACGCGTGTTTAGACGATGCGAAGAAAGAAACACAAAAATAATGCAGAAAGCAAACCAAAAAAAAAAAAAAAAAAAAAAAAAAAAAAAACTCATCAAGAGCGCGAAGAAAGAGAGACATCGTTCGAACAGAAAAGAAAGAAAAAAATGTTGGGGTGATTTGGATGATCCCTTTGCGTTTCTACTTTCCTTTTGTTCTTCTTTGCTTTGAGCAAGAGGAGCACCCCATTGAAGACCAATTGTAAAAGGAGAAAGAAAAAAAAGAGACAACGAGAGACAACGAAGACGAATAATGAATGAATGAATGAATGAATGAGCATCGATGGTATGGTGGGGTAAGGAGGAAGGAAGGTGTGAGAGCAGGACGAAATGTATTATTAGGGAGGGGGAGCCATGGTCCACTACTGCACGGCAGAGTATGAATCGATGGATGAGAAGGTGAATATTTTGCGTGCTCTCTTTGAAGTACTGTAGTGGATGGACAATTACAGTAGAGAAACATTGCAGGACAGACGAGGGAGAGGACGAAGGAGGGGCTCTCATGCCTTGCGTCGTTCTTCCTCGAAGAGCGGACATTGAGAAGAAGTATAAGTCAAAAACTGAGAGAGTGAGCAAGGGGGAGAGAAAAGAGAGGAGTATGGACGCTCTCACATTTTTTTCTACATTTTCCTCCATGGTCGTCGCTCTGTTTTCAGTTCTTTTTTTTGTTGCTTGAAGGTAGTTTAGCACGAAAGAAAATAATAGCATCTTGGCCCAGGCTCCACAGACTCGGCTATGCCCTTTTTCTTTGTGTCTATTCCCCGCCATTGGTCGACCACCCCAAAAGTTCCCATCCCTTCCTCAAAGAGGGTGAAACAAACCAAGAAAAAAAAGATACCTCTTTGTACCTGTGGGCAGGATAGATGGTATTGAAGGAACAAGAACAAAAGGTACTTGAAAACCACTTTGAATCACTATTGAATTGGGTTGAATAGGGGCACTGTTAGGCGTTTTTCTTTCTCCCTCGCTCAGACAGCAATGATTTCTACAAGAAAAAACAAGACCAAAGCGGCAAAAAAAAAACTTTGATTGGATGGAATAGGAGAAAGTTCCTGAACCAAAAGTCGTCCAGATGAACGAGCCCTCTCTGTCTCTCTCCATAATCATCATCCTTGCATCCTTGCTCAGATCAGCAAATGGCGACAATTTTTTTAAAAAAGGGGTGAAGGTCGTGAGTTGTGGACGTATCGAGGGGGTGGCCATGGTCGCTTCTGTAATCTGATAGGATGGACCGCCAAACCACAAACAGGGCAAGGACGATCCACGAGGGGAAATCAATGGTCAGAAGAGGAGGCTTGGCCAAGGCTATGTGTGTCCCTGAATTACCATTGGCTCAATTATTGGAACTTGCCCTTTGTTGCTGCTGTTTACGCTCTTTGTCGCAAGCTAACAAACACCTGTTTGTTCTTCCTTTTCAACCTATTGCAATAAAAAAGTTGCTGAGGTTAAAAATCCGAACGGTCCCCTGTTGAGCCATTTTTTCGACGTGACCTTCCAACCTTCATTCGACTGTTGTTGTTCAAAAACAATTCTGACCTCGACCCTACTCAGCAAAGGGATAGAGGAGCCAAATAAACAATGAGCTGCATGATGGAGGGAATCATAGAAAAGGAGTCGAAAGAGTGTCCGTTGGACCAATTTGTTTTGATTGATCTGTTGCCACACTGATGAACAAAAAAGGGGAAGAGGTGAATGGTCCGTTGAAGATTTCCCATGAACCAATCCAACTGACCATGCGTTCCTTTTTGACGATTTGGTTGGATGTTCCTCGCTCTCGTCAGCACGCGGTCATCTTTCGGAAGAAGGAAGAGGAAAAATGACAATGCAGTGTATTGCCGAGAATCGCAATTAATCAATTTGGTGAGTTCCATTTTCCTCCTTCCTTTTCTTTTTTTCTTTGTTGTTGGTTGTTGTTGATAAAAGTGAGGAGTGACGGGTGACCAAAACAAACCGGCATGCACAACGTAACCTTTTTCCTCAAACAAGAAAAAACAAAACGCAATGCTCTGTTTGCGAGTTCCGAGTAGTTTAGCAACAACACCACAAAAAAATATTGAGTGCAAGGGTTCACGTTGAATAGGCGATGAAGAGAAGAATAGAGTATGGACATTGAAGATAATATAATATACATTTCTCATTCCAAAAACACTTCTCAAAATACAACATGTACTAATTGTCGCGAAACAACATGGAGTACTCTCGTAACTGTACTAAGACATGCATATATATGTATCTGTGCTTTGATCCCGCGGCCGCGGGCGGACAATTGCGAACATATATGAATGGTGTTTCTCGATCACACACATATGCCATGTACCATTTGCAAAGACTCAAAAAACGGATTCGTCATCTACCCCGATCGATGAATGCCAAGTCATTTTGCTCCACAAGGAGTCATTCTCTCTTTCCGCATCCGCATACTCTCGTTGTTTTTTCGACTCTTTGCAATGTAGTTTCTCCTGTTGTCAGTCGGCTGCTCAATTTGTAGTAGCTCACATGTATCGTCCCGGTGATACTACAAACAACAGCATTTGCAAAGCATCAACAACTACGAATTGAACAAACGGGCACATGGTTTTCTTGTTTGAAGACTGGTCAAGCTGTCGTGCGACCATACAAAGTTATCACCCATTTGTCAGCTCTGAGGACGCACAACAAGCCACACCTCCGTTGGCGAGGAAGAGGACAGGATGCGCCACAAGAGAACAGTGAGGTCCTGAGTGGCTCAGAATAAGAAAGCGAGGAATGGCATTGGGGGGAGATGTGCAGTGTCGCAATTGACATAAAGGTAGCATGATTTCTAAGGCCTTGTTTTTCTCTCCTTTAGCTTTCTTCGTCTGCCAGCCATAGGTGTATCTAGTTCACTGGACAGGCGACACATGTCACACAGGAGGATTCTAAAGGACAGAACTGGATTACGTGCTTGCACAGCAGGATTCAGATACGAGACTACATAGTCTACAAAGGAGAAGTCTTTTAGCACAGCACAGTTACTATCTGAACAAACGACAACAGCAACCTCACAAGACACAGCACCAGAACAGCAACGACGACAAACTGTATTTCTAAGCATGCAGGTCGAACACACAGCACCCATGTCCCCCCTTTCCTTCTTCCTTACCCCACATTTGCGCCTTTTTGGTGTTTTTCACGAGGCAAGGATAAAAATGATGCATGGACTGGGCAGAATGAGATGGAACTCCGTGAGAGAAAGTACACTCTTATCGAGAGGAGGGGCGATAGAGTAAACATGGACGAGTTCATTGGACTGAGGCAAAATGCAAATCAGGGATTGAGCACTATTTCTTCTATTTCTTATCGACGTTCATCAGCTAACATGCGACAAGCATATGACAATTTTTGCAATGCTGTGTTTGGGATTCGCGATTAGCAATCGTAAAGAAGTAAGGCGAGCCCAAAAAGTACTTAAAGGCGGAGTGGATCCATCTTTATTTTTTTTCGCCTTTTGAACCCACTTTTTATTTGGTTGCACTATGTGCTTGGTCTGAGTTTATGAGCATGATGGCACACTCCACTGGGCGAGAGGAAGGTGAAGAAGTCGAGTCGAGTTGGGGAATAAGGAACAAAGAAAGAAAAGGAGGAAAAAAAGTCTCCGATGGCCCTAATTCGCTCTTTCATTCTCCGTCGAGGAATGTACCCTGACGACTGAATCTTATCACAGGGGGAATATCAGTCCCTCGTCTCCCTGTCATCATCACTCAGGGAGGTGATTGTTCCTGAGTAATCGTCTCCCCGGGTCCGTGCACGCACCAGGATCAGCTCCAAAGATCTGTCTGAGATGATCCGGCTCACTGGTAGCCACTTAAGCATTGCAGCAAACTATTCGTTACTGGAGACGCAATCGGTCACGTGTGGAACGCCTCGGTTCACCATGCCTCAGTCCTTGCTGTTATTTAATACGTAGTATTCTTTTTCTTCTCACGTTTGAACTTTTTCTCTCATCACCATTGTTACAAGGTGGCATCACCATCAGCAATGTCTCCCACCCTGCCACCCATCACTGTCTACAGCTCCAAGCCGACCCCCTTCAGGTTCATCGAGTGCACCATCGAGTCGCGCCATTTGGAGGCACTTTTCCTCCTAGGCAACGACTGCTGCAGCGTCTTCCTGCGCCAGCTTATCACCCGCCTCCCCAACCACAAACATACTCCCGACGTCTCCAGGAGTACCAACCTCAAAATCCAGTACAACTCTGACACCACCAGTGGCGCCACCACGTTCGCACCACCCTCACTCGCCAACCCTATCGCGCCTGTCCCTTTGTTCTCGGCCATTTCACCCATCAACAAGAAGTTTGCCCACCCACTCCGACTCCAGGCAACTGCTCCATGGCATCGGCTCGGACACCACTACTACAGGACCGAGACACAGATTATTCACCTGGGCAAGACCAGCATCCGTCTGCAGTACCGTTATTTCACCGTACCGAGAAGTCAAATCAAGCGAGATTTCAACGATCGATCGCAAGATGCGCAGTACAGTCACTTGGCGTCCGAGGACGAGCCGGAAAGACAGTTTGCAACCTCGATTGCAACATTAGCGTTTGTAGAGTGGGGGCAACCGAACGAGCATGGCCATCGATCGATCAAGTCGGCTCCGTCCCCCTACACGGATTTGTCACTGATTGTGGAGCAAACGGCTAAATTCCATCGCCCTGATGGTCTTTCCAAGCGCGCAGCCGGAGGGCGGCCCGATCATGCTTTTAAGGTTGACCTCCCTCTCCGACCTTCTGACATTGACCAGGTACACCTTATGCCTTGTTGTTTTCGAGGTTGTGGAGAGCTGCTTTGAGCCTTTTTTCTTCGAACTAACAAGCTATGTACTTTTTAATCGGACGTGCAAAATAGCTGGGGCATGTCACCAACTCTCGATATGCCCTCTTGCTCCATGACGTACTTTCACACGGTCTGGAGAAGGGATACTACGCCAATGGTTCAGGACCTCTCAGGACCCCTTCAACACCTCTTCCAGTCCATTCTGGAAAGACATTATCGACTCTCTCTGACACAGTTGTGAACATCCCTACAGGATCGCAGTACTACAAGAATGCCGACATTCTTGAGTTCTATGTGGGCTACGAGAACGAGTTGAAGATCGAGGACAATGTTGTTGTCTGGAGTTGGGTTGAGAGGGAGAAGATTCTTGTCGATAAGGACCAATTGCCGTTGGATGTTGTCGTGTTTGAATTCTGCGCGGTGGATGATCGAGGACAAGAGAGACTCATTTCGTTGTGCAGGACCGTTATCCGTGAGCGGGTCGAGACTTTGGCGTCATTGCCGGTGCTGAACAAGGCCGGTGCTAAACTGTAGCCAGTTCTTTTGTGTCCTGGTGTGACTGTTATTAGACAATCTTGTAGAGCGAATAAAAGAAAGGATGCAGAGATCACTTTCAGCCATCACATCACACAACCACACACACTCCGCTTATTACCATGTCTGCATCAAACACCCGCGCTGCTTGCGCCAACTGTCTGGTCCTCCTCGCAGGAGAGGCTCCGTGCTACATCCCCAACAAGGCCCTCCCTCCCTCCACGCCATTGTCCAACACGATTTGTAAGATCCGACATTCACCACTCTCCATGCAAACGACAACGACGATGCACACAACCAACACAGAACAATTAACGCTTACATATCCCTTGTTGATTGCTGTAAACGGAAACAATAGATGGTGCTGCTGCTTTGGACAACCGCCCTACGAACAAGTGGCCAATCCATTTTATCCTTGGAGATGCTCCTACCCTGAACCCCATGGATACCACCAAAGTCCAGGTAAGGCTCCTTTTTAGTGCTTATCATGACCTTGTTTTGGTTCCCCCAGTCTCGGCATTTTTGTGCGATAAGACTCTAACTCGTATCGTCCCATCATCCAACCCACGACCCTTTCCCTCTTCTTCCCCCCTGTCGATTCATCCCCCCTTCCCAACGATCAATTGCTCCTTAAAGGTCTGCAAAAAGTGTCACGATTTGTTCGACAAAGGCGACGGTCTCCAAGGCAACCCCAAAGACCTCATCCCCCGCGCCCCGCGCCTATCCATGTTCTCCCGGATCCCCCGCGACATGCAAGACCTCACCCTTGAACAACGTCGTGCATTGAGATTAGCAGGCTGCCCCACCCCCGCAAAGGCCAAGGGCAAAACTGTCGAGGCCCTGTTGTTCCCTTGGTTGTACCCCCTGGGGACTGGAATGTATGCAGATGGAACCAAGGGTGCAAACTGTAGATCGTTCAAAGATGATATGGAGATCAAGTTGAATAGTGCGGATTCGAGGTGGAGGGATGATGACGAGTGGGCTACTTGGGCTGCCTTGAAGGCTGAGGGCAAGGATGGCACTGCTGACTTGTTCAAGCCTTTGTAAGCGTTAGTAGAGGGTCAATTGCAATGGATAGACAGGACATCAACTTGAGTGGCGTAGAAGTTTCCTAGAAACTATAGAAATAAAACCAGCGTGGTTCATATAGCCCTTGCGAGAATGCAGTCTGCCAGGTAGTAGTCAATTGGTTATGATGGAACTAGAAAATGGATCAGAAAGAGAGGGAGTGATGGAGAAGGGAAAAATATTGAAACTGTAAGGAGCCAAAGTATTCTTGAGGAGCCGGTCATATGTTATATAGTATGTGCGCATCGTTGCCCAAAGCAGTACGGGACCGGAGTTTTGTGGTCTCCTGGTGCGTCGAACCACACGCACGAATGAGAGTGGGAAGTGAGTGCGCTGTGCGGGTCATAATAAGGTAAAGAGGGCCAACAAATCAATTTTATCCAAAGTGGAGCTGCCTAAGTGTTGTGGTGATTTGGAGCGGCTTAGCTTCTGGTGGCCATTTCGCTATTTTACACGCTTGCCTGCGAGTGTCTGGAAAAGCACCTTTCTTCCACGATACGAGCAGGTAGGCACTATGCCCTTTGACCATTGGTAGCAATAGTAGTTTCTAGCCTTTGGAGAATAGTTATTGACATAAAGGCACCTTTCTTCCACGATACTAGCAGATCTTGAGAGTTACCGTCTTTATTCGCGATATTGAGAGGGAGCACATGTACACACACACACACAAGACCCCCACAGTGTTCCTCGCACGTGCACGTTGTCCTCACCCAGTAAAGTAACCTAAACCGCACATTTACGCACGCACTCCCACGACGCAATAAACTTCTTACAAAACAAAACAAAAAAAACCCTAAACCACACATGAGGATTGTATAGCCCGTCCTCACCGGGTCAGGGATGACGCGTGTGAGTCCAGACGACCCTTGCTGCTTTGTGGGACGCGCTCAAGAGATCTAGGTGTGCTCCTCCTCCAACTCCTTGATGACCATATTGCCTCTCCTTTCCATAATATCCATGCGCCTCAGGCCTAGCAGGGTGTCGATGACTACTCGATCAGCCACTCGAGTATTGTTCTGCTTGCCTGGGCACCTCTGTTCCCTGTGTTCTGCTGCGGCTCGTCCGCAAAGGCACTCGGCCTCTCGGAGGTTCGCCCATAGATCTGTTTCCACCTGTGGGTCTGTGTCCACTTGCCCTCTGGTCATTGGTGGTGCGTGTGCGTTTCATGCTGTTGGTGATGCTGCTCTCCTCCTACCTGATGGTCCTCTCGCAGCGTGGCTTCCATAACTGCTCCTTGGCCTCCTTTTCGACATATCGACAAAAGAGACGGCTCACGTGCAGGGTAATGCTTTCTGCTACGTCCTTGAACACCTTGCTCCACTGCGTAGCTAGGGCTTTCGGCACTAGGCCTCGGTAGATGTGACTGACTGTCCACGCGTTCTGGGTATGTTGTTCCGGTTCCTCCTCCTCTTCCTCACCTGGCCGCTTGATCGCCTGCCTCAGCGCCTTGAGGGGCTTGCTGGTTCTTAGTATCCTCCATGCGGTCTCGGGGGGTGACTATTTTCCAGGCTTGAGCTGCATCTGTCCCTGCTTGTTGAATTGTCGCGTGGCGATCTCTCCTCATCCCTCGACTCGGTCAAGGGCATTCTCCCGCAGCTCCTCCTGCGTCTCTCTGCTCTTGGAACACGCCCAGATGTTCTCATTATCCTCCGTCTCTAGACCACACACTCGGCATAAGTCGTCCTTGTACAGATCTGGACGCCTGGCGCGTAAAACGTCCATGGTAGGCAACATTCCGTGGACCTTCTTTATCCTATGGCTGCGTAGGCGTGTGTCCTGCTGTAAACTGAAAAAGGTGTTGACTGGTTTGTGGCTGTGTATGTTTGAAAGGTCTTCCTGAGTGCTCCTTTTTTTTATTCAAATATCAGCCTCGTGTGTGAGCACGGAACATGGGGTTGCCGATACTTGCACCCTAACCCAGTGTTCTGGTCTTGAAATGACGGTCCTGGTCCTCGTACCAGGGGTTGAATACATGTACCATCGGAATCGGTTATTATCGGATGATTTTCTTGGGAGAAGGACAAAGTCAAGAAGATGAATTCTCTTGTGCTTCCATATTAAGAAGATTCATCTTCTTTGAGAAACTGTGGCCATTCTCATTACGCTCGAGAGACATCCAACCAGGAGGAGGGGGGATTGCGGCAAGGATGTAGGAAGAGCTTGGAAGGGGATGGCAGATCCCTACCGACTTCTTCTGTGGATTTGTAGCTCCGTGTTGGGTGAGCGCGAAGAGAATAGAAACGCATTTTGGGACTGAACTTTACCTTCCATTAACGGCCAGAGAAACACACCTACTGGTGAAAACCCTCCACTATCTGCACTGCGGATAAATCCGAAATACTTCTCCAGGGTTGAACCTGGGAATTCTTGATAAGTTGGCACTTTACAGCTACGCTAAGGGACCCCAGGCCCCTCCTGAGTGCCCTCCACTTTTGGTGCCAGCGTCTGGTGGTCTGCATCTTGAGCACGTGTCTCATGTCCTGATCGAAGATCACGCCGGCCATTGTCGCAGAGCATTTGATGTCGTCCTGGGCTCTGTCCACCTTCTATGCCGTTACGCCTAGCGATTGCGCCTCCTTTGCTGCCATATCCGCCTTTCCGTTCCATTCGTTTCCGCGTGGCCGTTGACCCATTCGACCGTTGTTGACCCCGCGTGCTCGCCGCATCACCGCCCACTCCATGGCTCACTTCTCCTCCCATTGAAACATCGGAATAGATAGGTTTCAGTTCAGCCTAGTCTCTTTCCTACAGCTCTCAATGGACTCCTGTGCCTGGGTCCATGATAATGTGAATGTCCCCCACAAAAATGAATCGCACTAAGAAGTCTCAGATGGACTTTTCTTCCGGTGGGAGCTGGTAGGCCTCTTCTGCCATCTCCTTCCTGCGTGCCTTGACTTGCCGTTTGAATTTCTGCTTGCCTTCGCGCGCCTATCTGCCTCCGCCTTGCCTCCTCGAGCTTCTGCTCCAGCTTCTGTTGCCTCACCCTCGCGTGATTTTGTTTTGTTGTGTTTGTCCGGTTGTTTGTTTCCTGTCTGCGGAGGAGTGCCTGGTTGGTGTTGTTGAAGGGAAAGAAGGAAGATTAACAAAAAGGGAAAATGAGTGGGGGTGGGGCGTGTGGGGTGAGGCGTGTGGGGTTGCGCGTGGGAACTAAAAGAGTTGGTAAGGCAGAAGATGACTACAAAGGGAGATACCGAAAGGGAACATCAAAGTACATCTCTTGTAGGTCCGTATCTTCTGTTTGTTTTTTTTTCTCCTTATCTTTCTGTGCTTCTCACTTTTTCTTTTGTTTGGGCTGCGATGCTCTTATTGGTGCTGACACCTGAAATTCACGTGACAGGAGAAGAGTACGACGAATTGTTGGCCTTTTATCTTTCTCACAACGGGGGAAACGGGGGGACAGACTTCTACTCTCGCAGCCCCTTTTTGCTCTCTTACTTCTTCTCTCCACTCTTCCCCACTCTTCCCCGCTCTTCCCCACACAAAACGCAAAAATAAAACAAATGCCATCGTTCATCGGAGCCATCGACAACGGAACAACCTCCTCACGGTTCCTCATCTTTGATGAGAACGGCAACCTCGTCATCGGACACCAGCTCGAATACCGTCAGATCTTTCCTCATCCAGGGTAAACTAGAGTACACACAAAGAAATATGTAACGGACGAATACGCCATCACTAGACCCCTAACTCTTATTTTTTGTTGTCATTGCGGATAACTTATGCGGTATGTAGATGGGTGGAGCAGGACCCAATGGATATCTTGGGAAGCGTTTTCACCTGTATCGAAGGTGCCCTTCGCAAGTTTGAACTCCAAGGAAACGATGTCAAGGACTTGAGGGGTGAGTTTTTTTTTTTTTTGCTTGAATTTGAATGTCTGTCGCTCCTCCTTGTTATTAGTTGTACAGTACTGTTCGGCCATGATCAAGTTTATTTCACAGTAGAAAGAAGAAAAAAAGGTCGTTTATCTAAACTTGGTTTCTGACTTGTCGATGTTGTATAGGAATTGGCATTACCAACCAAAGAGAGACGGCCGTTGTTTGGGACAGAACGACAGGACGACCACTTCATAATGCCATTGTTTGGTCAGACACCAGAACACAGGATGTTGTCACCCGACTCTGCGAGACTTCAGAGAAGGGAGTTGATGCCCTCAAGGTTAGCTTAACACACACATATAATGCATATCATGCTACTTTGATACTCGTGCGAAGAAGTGTTTGTGCCTAACAATGGAGCCAACCTTCTCCTTTTACAAAACTGGACAATTTCAATTCATGTAGGACATTTGCGGATTGCCCCTGACGACATACTTTAGTGCCGTCAAGTTGCGATGGTTGCTCGAGCACTCTTCCGAGGTCAAGGAGGCACATGATAATGGAAACATGATGTTTGGTACCGTCGACTCTTGGCTCATCTATGTAAGTAGTTTGATTCACTCTGACTCTTGATATTTTGCAGATCTTTGTTTGGAACGTTCCCAGTTGCGTTGCGATGTGACCCAATGGACAGCGACCGAACTATTTCTTGACGTTGGATAACGTCTTGTTTTTCTTTCTTGTCTCTTGGCATTGGGGAAGTCTTCGTTTTTCTTAACATTGGTCAACACCTTGTTTTTCGTTTTCATATTTTTAGAACCTTACGGGAGGAAAAGAGGGCGGAGTGCACGTCACAGACGTCACCAATGCCAGTCGCACCATGTTGATGGATATCAAGACATTGAAATGGAGCGAAGAATGTCTCAAGTTCTTTGGCGTTAACGCCGATATCCTGCCCGAAATCAAGCCCTCGTCGACCCACTTTGGAAAAATCCAGCACCCAACTCTCGATCGACTTCAGGATGTGCCCATTACAGGATGTTTGGGAGACCAGCATGCGGCCCTGGTCGGTCAGCATTGCTTCCAGGTCGGGGAGGCCAAGAACACCTATGGAACAGGATGTTTCATGTTGTTCAACACCGGGACAAAGATCACCCCCTCCAACAATGGACTGTTGACGACGGTCGGATACCAGTTCGAGGGTGAACCTGCGGCGTATGCACTTGAGGGATCGATTGCTGCAGCTGGATCGGCTGTCAAGTGGCTGAGAGATAATTTGGGCGTTATTCGTACGGCTGAGGAGATCAACGACTTGGCCGCGCATGTTGACAGTAACGGAGGAGTTGTGTTTGTGACTGCATTCTCGGGACTCTTTGCGCCCTACTGGAAACCTGATGTCCGTGGAAGTATCGTTGGTATCTCGCAACACACCACCAAGCATCATCTCGCAAGAGCCACCCTGGAAGCCACATGCTTCCAGACCCGTGCCGTAAGTTTGCTTGTTTTTTTTTGGTATTCTTGCATGACCATCCTCCTCAACATATCACATTATCTGTCGTAGCGCTCACGCCTTAATCATTTTAATACTCTTTTCAACGGATAGATTCTGGATGCGATGAATGCTGATTCAGGACTCCCATTGAAGACACTCCGCGTGGACGGTGGCCTCTCGAACAGTGATACCTGCATGCAGTTGCAGGCCAACATCCTGGGACTGGAAGTGGCGAGACCCCTGATGCGCGAGAGTACTGCGTTGGGCGCAGCCACAGCAGCCGGTGTCCATTTGGGTGTTGGTATCTGGAAGGGAGGCTTTAAGGCATTCGCAGAGCGGGCTCATAAAGCCAAGGAAGTCCTTGAGATCTTTAACCCGAAGATCAATGACGAAGGTAACGAATTGGCCAACTGGTCACTATATATTTGTTCTGTTGTCTCGTCAGAGAAGAGTGAAAAAGGGCGGGACGAGCCAATACAACGTGGGAACGAGAAAGAGGAACGCGAGGATATCACAATGAAGATGCAAGATGATGAACGATGGTTACTGTTCAGATATCTAACTCTCCATTTCATTACTGTTTTTTTCTCTTCTTTAATGAACTTAGAACGCGCGAAGGAATATGAGTTGTGGCAAATGGCGATTGACGCAACGATGCAATTCAAGCCAAAGCGCAATGAAAGTTGGGAGTCTTAATTGTTGGTCCCTATAGATATTTTTTTCTCATTTGATTTCTATCAGTGAGCTGTCCTGAAGTTCTGTGATCCCTTTGCAAAAATCAACAACAAAGAAATCACAAGAACAATAAAGAAAACTCGATCTCATCTTGACAGGAGAGGACCGCCTCTTTTTCTGTGTGTGTATTTTTTTTTTTCATAACTCGACTTGACAGACAGAAGCAATGACAAGGTTGAGGAATGAGATGGAGAGATGAACATCTTTTATCGTTCGACTTATGACAGATATGAACTTTCGTTCATCTCTCTCTCATTCGAACACTCTCACGTCCTCCACGATCACCCGTTCCTGAAATAATTGACAGCCAAGTGGTTGGACTTTGTTTGTCTCAGACTATGGTGATGACCATTGGCCAATGAAGGACGAGCCACTCGACGCGTCCTTTCCTTCTTTTTCTCTCTTTCTACTCTCCGAGGAGGAGGCGTGGGGGGAATGGAAAGTGTGATAAGAAACCATAGCGCAGAAATGACTCTGCAAGGAAGGGATCACCCTTTCGCATGAGATAAACAAAAAAAAGGCAGGCCCACAAAACAGACGTTCTTGGGGTTGTGGGTGATTGTGTTTGTGCGTGTCATGCCATGCATGTAAGCAGGGATAAAAATAAGCCTAGCAAACAAGCAGTTAGTTTGCTTTGCTTGTTTGCCACTTTCCTTCTTTCTCTGCATGAGCAAGATACAAAGAAAAGGCAAAACAAAACAAACAAACCGCCCCATGCGCCAACTTTTCTATTCCTGCATGTGTTTTTTTTTCTGTTTGTCTGTTGTTGACCTTTGGTGTACTGTACGACCACAGCTATCTTGTCATCACTTTCTTGTCTTCTTTCCCATCTACCCAAGGGGCACAGGAAGCACAAACAATAACATCAAAGCCGCATTTTTTTTCCTTGACACTATTTCTCTTTGTAAGGCGAGCCATCGATCGATCGATCTCTCAGGAGTCAGGACTGGTTGTCCTTCAAGAAAGGAGAGGTCGAAAAGCGCAGTCTAGAGCAGCCCACCAACAACAACAATCCAACCAATTCGCTAATCATCTCTCTCTGGTGTTGTCTTTTTTGACTGGGTTCTCTTTTTGTTATTTTGCGATGTGACGATGGTGATGATGATGAAGATGAGAGCCACAAAAAGTCATCCTCATACGAAGATTCAAAAGTGAGAAGAGAAAAGAGGAGAGGAGGAAAAGAGAGCATCGTTGAAACAAGGGTTCACTATCTACTTTCTTCTTTTTTCTTTTTTTCTCGACTCCGAAAATACAGAACTGGTAGTACCTTTTCTACAATATTTGATCCCTTGACAGGTCTTCCTTGCTTGTTATTTGTTTGTTTGAAAGGAGGGGTTTATTAGTGATGTTGAAATGCGAACGAAACCATAAAGGAGTAGTCTACTTATTGCGTCTCTTCGCTTCTCATGATACCTTTTTTGTTGAACGATGATAGAAAAAGGTGGATGGATGATGATGGTGGTGGTATGCCTCAAAAAACTGGATTGGCTTCTTTTCATGTCGCGGAGTAGAATGTATTTTTTTTTTAGTTGCGAAATAGGGTAGAAAAGAGAAAGAGAAAGAGAGAGAGGAGTCCGACAAGTTTTGTGCTCTCAACATCTCACAGCCATGGGTTCTCTCTAGCTCAGTGTGCAGTAGCATACAGAGTCGGGAAGAAAACAAGGGGAAGAAAAAAAAAAGAGGGCATCGCATTGCTTGCTGGGAATGGGCAATGGGTCCATGGGGTATTCCGAGCCCGTTGGCCAAAGAGTTTTGTGCTCAACCACCATCTGAGCTCTTTTTTGTAGTTCGCATGGAGATGGCTTTGGCCCTTTTGTTTTTTTGTTGATGGGCGATGCGTTTTTGTTCTTTTTTGGAGTTTGAGGATGGAGAGGGGAGGAGGAGTCAAAAGGGGTGAAAGACCCAGGGTATGTACAAACCATTGGATAAAAGAGAGAGGAGTCAGCCGGGATGGGTGAGGTGTGCACTTGCTGTTGACCGTTTTGTTTACGTTTTGGGTGCCATGCCAGGTGCATGAGTAACATCCATACGGATACACACCCATATACATCCACATCCACACACACATACACGGGGTGGAAGAGGAGGAAAAGGATTATGCTTGCCTGCGTTTGCTTTGCTTGGTTGCCCCAAGGAGGGTGTGTGTTCAAGGGCGAAGGGTTGACTGGTTGACTGGACAAGCGCAGAAAAAGAGAGAAAGAGTCATCATCACCTTTCTCATCCTCTTTCTTTTCTTCTTTCCTTCACCTTCATCCCTTCTGCCACCCTCTTCTTTAACTCACCCCTTCTCCTTTTCTTGTTTTTGTGTTTGTGCGTTTTTCTTGAACCAAAGGTCATTATATAATCCCCATTGCTCACTTGCACCTCCCCTTCCTTCCCACTTCCTCCTTCCCATTCAGCACTTTTTTCTTCCCGTCCTCCCTTTCTACCTATTGCGACCTTATCCCAAGGAGACTTTTTTTTTTTTTTTTTACCTGTACCTGCACCTGTTCTATTGCCCGATTATCAGACACCACACCAAACACCCTATCCAAACTAACCAGCCATGAACTCGGCCCAGTATGGATACCAACACTATCCTTCCCCGTCCCAAGCACAGGCCCAGGCACCCCAGCAGCTCTCGCCTCAACTACAGCAACAACAACAACAACAACAGCAGCAGCACACGCCAGACCTAACCTCACCTTCCCATCAACCACAACAACAACAACAACTTTCTCCTCAACAATCACCTACTTCTCCCCACCAACAACAATCGCCTGAACAACAACACTCCTCCCATATCAGTCTCGACCATGCCCTCAGCCCCACCAACAGCAACAATAATAGTTCAAACAACAACAGCAACAACCACAACCACATAGAGCATCCTTCGCCCAGTCACTCAAACGACGCCCAGTCGCCCGCCCATGGCGACAATGACCCACATATCATGTCCAATGCCGGAGTGCCCTCATCCAACGGGTTGCAGAGTCCACAGGGTCATCCTACCTCACTCCTGCCAATGCCATCCCCCGCCCTGGCTGCCGCAACCGCCGCCAACACGTCCGCCAACTCGAACCCGACCGGTAATCGACAGATGATTATCCAGCAGTACCAAAACCAACAACAACACCAGCAACAACACCAACAACACCAGCTTGGTATGGGTGGCATGTCAATGCCAATGCAATCCTCGGGCAATGGCGGTGGAAACCCTGGCGCGATCAATACGGCTATGATGTCCTTGCAAGGGCCTTCAGCCTACCTCTTGCCCTCTCCCCAGTCGGCCGGAGCCTCAGGACAGCCGCCTCTGCCCATTCTCCCCCCGCAGAGCCCTGACCTCGATACGATTCTGGCAAAGTTTGCCAATCAGCCCGACCTCCTCAAACTCATCATTGCATCCAAGACAGAGGAAGATCGTCGCTGGGCAGAGGAGGCCCGCTACCGGATGATGGATCTGATCATGAGAGGCGAGAATCGAGGACTGGGATTCATGGTGGGCTACGAAGCCCTCGGTGGAATTCCTGGCAACATGCCAGGGATGATGGGTATGACAGCGAAGCGGTTCATGGAAGAGGGCGGTGGCGGTGGCGGTGGTTATGGTCAACACGGTATGTTTAACGGCTTCTCCCCAACCTCTGGCGCCAACCCTGGCAACCCAGGCACCCAAGGAGCAGGAGGACAAGGACAAGGGACGTCAGCACAGGGATCAGCAGGCATCCTCGCCATGGGTGGGTCTTCGTCAGCGGCTGGAACGAGTTCCGCGGGACTTCCGTCCTTGTACGCCCAGACACAGATGCCGAATCCCTTTGGCATGGGTATGGGAGGGATAACTCATGGCTCGCAGTCGATGATGGGACAGACCATGGGCGGCAACCCGTCCGGTTTTGGCCAGTACATGGACCCGAGCCTGGCACGTAAGCGGTCGGTTACCTTTGCGGGCGAGGTCCATCATATGCGGTCGCAATCACTCTCGTCTATCACGCCCAATTCGGTTGGACAGCTTGGAGGCATGACGTCCATGCTTGGGGGCATGAATAGCTCCGACGGCTTTGGACAACAACAACAGCAGCAACACCCACATCAGCAGACATCAGGACTGCAGAACCCTCAACAGTACCAATACCCGGGACAACAACAACACCAACAGGCGATGCATTACCACCAGTCATCCCCACCACCCCCACCACAGTTTGCCAGCAACAACCCTTATTCCCACCAGTCGTTTGGATCTCAGAATACACTGCCTAGTCTCCACCACCATGGTGTCATCCGGAGGACCAATTCACTCTCGCACATCGGCCAAACTCAGACCACCGTAACAGAGCAGCGTCTTGTCGCAGGACGGCCCAGGAACGAAAGCTCTGCCTCTATGAGGACCATGGACGATAGTGGTAAGCAAAGTTCTCTTTTTATTGTTTGTCTTGTGTTTTTTTGTCTTTTGGAACCTTGCGTGTGACCTTTGGTTAGGTTTGTTGCTGCTCCTTTCCTTTCCTTTCCTCTCTTCATGTCGCCACATTACCATGGCCATTTTCTTTTCCTTTGTCACACCATGACACACGCACCATGCTTCAATTGATCCTCTTATCAAAATCCCTTCTTTTTGTTGCCTCGACAACTTATGTGTGTTCTTTCACACGAGGCTGAACATCCGCTTACTATTGCTCTGTTTTTCATTTTCGCCGTTTGTATTTTTTTTTCTCATTGTTCATGACGATATTTTTTGGTTGCTCAATTGACATATGAAACGGACCAAACACTCACCCACACACGAAAACAACACTTATCTCAGAACAATATGGTCAACAAAAAAAAGGCAGCATAATCGATCAACAGCTATCTGGAAAGAATGCTCTCGAAAGTGAACAAGCGACGCATTCCTTAACCACACAACAGTACTAAAGAGAAAAAAAAGGCGCAACTCATTTTTTTGGATGCTCAGATGTTCTTTTCCTACTTTTGGACTGGACTGCTCAACTGAGGTCAATTGGACAATTGGAACTGGTGTTCAACCAGCAGCGCAAATCCATCGCCCGGCCGGCCCTTATTTATCTCACCTCACTTTCGTAATCCATGTCTTCATACCCAACTCGCTCACACCTCACATCTCGCTTTTTTCACGTTCATATCTGGAATAGATGCAGAGTCGGAGGACGATTATGAGAACCACCCCGTCACAGGTATGGGCATGTCGAGTCGACCTGGATCTGCACTAAGCATGCACAACAACGTTGGAGGTAATGGCGAGACGTCACTCACCCTCGAGTTTTCGGATATGGCGTCCGTTTCTGGTAACAATGGTTCTCAACATGACCATTCCGGCAGCACAACTACGACTACAACAACAAAAGGGCATCACCGGACTTCTTCTTCTATATCCTCCATGGGGGGCGTTCAGGACTCGGGCGCAGGATCAGAGTACAAGAGGAAACGAAAGCGCCGTGAGATGCAGCCTGTGAACAAGATTGTCGACTCGCCCGAGCCGCATATCGATCCTTACCTGTGGAAGAATAACGGTAACACGACGCAGAAGAAGACTGGATGCAAGAGTATTTATTACAAGTGTTCTAACAGCACCGCCGGATGCACTGTAAGTTTCCTTGCTCTGGACACTTTGTCACCTGCTGGCTGTCATTGTTACTATCACAATCGCCTCGTGTCATCGAGCCAGCGTACGAAGTTATGGCAATTGACATTTGAGATTTTATCCCTTTTTTCATTGAAACAGGTGAACAAGACGGTGACGGAGAAGGAAGGCGGTGGATATTTGACAAAGTACAGAGGCGAACATTTGGAGGACTGCATCCGGCTCAAGAAGGCTCAGCAGGCCGCTCAGGCAGCCCAAGCAGCAGCAGCCCAGAACGGACACCACCACCATCACCATCCACACGGACACATGTCAATAAAGGAGCAATGATGGCGTTGAGAAGAGGAGAAGCAGTCAGGCACCCTGGATAAGTCGTCAAGCAGGACATCGGGATCACTCAACTCTTCGGGATTGAGTCCCGTAGCCTCATTAGGCAGTTTTGTGTTCTTCGTCGTCTCTCTCTCCCTTGCCTTCCGCCTTCACTGGTTGCCTTGACACCCTCCACGGCCAGTACTTTATCAAAACCATGCACGAAAAAAACAATAATTGCCCGTCCGCGTCCAATCTGTACCATACCCACTTTACCACCTTCAAAAAACATCTTTTTCTTTTTAGTTTTTTTCTTGTTTCTTTCCAAGCACTTCTTTTTTCGTACATTTCTTTTCTTTCTGTCACTTTGAACCAGCAAACAAATACAAAGGAAACACCACAGCTGCAGCAAAATAAAATGATATTCTATTTTTTTTTATTTTACTTAACAACACAATCTCGTATGACATGACATACCTTTTCTTGTGCCTTGCCCGCCTTGCTGTTTGACGCATTCAGCCCGAGAAACACTTGGATCATTCAAAGAACAGACGGAACAGAATAAGTGGTGGTTAGAAAAGGAACCCCAGGTTAATATCTCTTCTTACCCTCCAAGACCCTACACGATTTCTCCATACTGCTGTGGTTCAAAACCACAAAACAAAGACGGCTGACCCACCGTTGCCATTCTGAAAGCTAGTGCTGCCCACAATGCATTTCCCACAATGATAAAACTCTAGCGCTCAAAATCTCCCGCATCGATCCCATATGCGTCCCAACCTTGCCTATGGAACAAGCACAAAGAGGGTAGATAGAAGTCCTTGTTTTGAACTCGACCCATCCACAAGGCGGACTTACTGGGCATATAGTTCCGTGGAAGCAGTCGTACACACCCCTGGTCAAGTTCGGAAGCACAAGCTAAAGGAAAGTAACCCTTTTACTTATAAGCATAGGAGATCTTTACCCCTAGATGACGCTTGCTTTCCTTTAACGGTTACGAAAACTATTGCTGCACTGTACTGAGGGTTTACCGCCGATACCATTAAACTTCCCTTTTGTTTGTCTATCAGGTATCATTTGTGTCTGTCCTATCCTTGATACTTTGCGCCGTCCTGATGCCATAGAGATCCACTTTTCGCCCTGTCGACGTTTCCGCCAGACCTCCGCTGTTGCAGCCCAACACCCGACCACAGGCCGATCTATCGTCTAACGGCGGACTGTGGTGCAACTGTCAACATATATTATGGATTAGCCGTTGCCCAGGGGTCGACTTTCCTGTTAGCACTCCCCCTTCTTTTTATTTTAGTTTGTTTATTCTATCGATCTCACATATGCGAACTCCTTGGTCCTCTCCCAGTTCATCCTTACGGATATAGTCCTAGCTCCACTGCCCATTTGTTCAGACTAGATCCCCCACAGATAGTCTTTGTTTACTTCATCGCACTACGTCTCTTTTAACAATGCTGGTGGTACTCTTTGTGATTGCAGTTTCCTGTAATTTTGTTTTTTTGTGAGGCCATTGTCGAAGTTCATTCAAACTACAACCCTTCTGTACATCGCCTCTGTCAGCACAATGGTGTGGAGCTTTGGACATAGTCGAAGGCCATCCAAGATGATACTGTGGCTGGCTGGTATATAATTTTTTGCCAATGCCGCGGTAAAGTCCTGATCGTCCTCACACCCACCACAGCACAAGAACTCCGCTTGTCGACGATAATAGCCAGTCCAGGGGGGAGGCACGGGATGATAGACAGACTCTACATGCCCGAAGCCTGCACCGTGGATGTGGAGGATCCTAAGTTGGTTGTGGGTCCAATCAGTCTCAAATACCACATTTTGCATGGCCTCTCTAGAACAGTGGTTGTGATAGCGAGGGTCTTGAAGGTGAGAGCACTGAACGACTATGGTCCGAAAGAATCGCAGCTTGCCGAACGCCCCGCGTGCCTGTCCCGAGTCAATGGTGAGGTGTGTGTCAATGGTGAGGTGTGTTAAATTGTTCGACCTGTTGAGGATGACTCCCTCAAAGACCCTCTTCCAATTAACAGGCGCAATGTGGAGGTTGGTGACGGTGTCGGGCATTCGATCCAAGAACGACATCATCCAGTTGGGCGCGTGGTCGAAGAGATCTTGACCGTCCTCAAGTTGTTGCTGTGCTCTGCTAACAGTTCCGCCACAAGTGGTCCACTGTTGCCTTGCATTCGGGAGATATTGATCGACTGCAGATTCGTCATGACCGGAAGAAAAAGTTGAAAGAACCAGTCAGGGAGGTTCGAACCCACGGTAAGAACCTTGACCGGCCATGATCCGTCGAACGTATCTAGGATATGCTCCAAAAGCAATTCCGTAGTTCTTGGTGCGTCAACGGCCCCTGCTCGATTGTGCATCGAGCGCCAATGTTGACGGTCCACAAAAATCTCTTGTTCGCCAAAACATTGATCAGGTCCGTAACAGGCATCCGAATGAGCTGAAGTCCCAGTTCGACCAAGCTGGTGGACGCAATCAACAGTCCGCGTGTATGAGGGCCGATCCTCGAACGTGCTCCAGATATCGTGAGAGACCGTAAGCTGTCAGGGCAGTTTTGGAGAAGGACCTCCAGGGGATGTGAGCAGCAAGATATAGAAAGAGATCGGATTCTTGAGTTGGTGAAGGCGAGATTCAGAACTGAAAGGAGTTGGTTGTTATCGTCATTGTTGTAGGGGTTGTGGAGAAATGAAAGACATCTGATGCTCGGCACCATTCTCTCCAATGTCGATAAGGGCACAATCCAGCAAGTGTTGTCCATGGAGGTAAAGTCAATATTTGACCATAGAATCGGGCTCAACACGGATCTCCACAGCCGTGCTACGGAAGCAGCCCGCAGCAAGTTGGAAGAAACCCAGACTGGTTCCATGCAGCGCTTGTCGGGATTCCACCGCAGTCTGTAGGTCTCAATAGCCAATCCAATGATGTATAGTATTTCGGGGATGGCAAGCACCCTTGAAGCGAAAAGAGGTGGGTGGGTAGAGACTGGGTGGACAGAGGCAGGATTGACAGAGGCAATCACAAGAGGGGTTGGTGGCAAAGACATGACGAGTAGGGATGTGAGAATAATAAAATGAAAGCGATTGGTACAAGAAAATGAATATGGATGTGCGTGTGAGACTGTGAATTCTGATGAGCTCCAGGAGATCAAGATCACGTGAGCAGAATATTTTGAAAAAAACAAGGTCACAACCAGGAGTCGAACCGGAAAAGAGGGCTGCTAACCACACCAACGGACTAACTGGCAACCGGGTTTTGTTCATCCCCATATTTGCCTATCTATTTCAACAAAATACATACCGCATGTTCACAGTCTTCAAATTGCTCCAGTACAACCAATATAGGTATGATTAGCACCGTTCTGGCGCCCCTGCATTCTCCCCTCTATACAGCACAACTTTATTTAAGAAATGAAGGCAGCATTGCTAGTACGGGTCCTCGCATACCGCCGGAAAAGAAACCCATACCATGCCCATCATGTCGATGGTGTCGCACGTGATCTGTCTTTCTTTTCTCGTGCACTTTAACCACCGCATTCCATTGCTCCATAGCAAAGAGGTATACCTACTCGCGTTTTGAAGCTTTGCAGGAGCAATGTAGTTACTTATCATTGTGCCTGAGGCACAGACAACGGTGAGGAGAAAGTAGCCAAAAGAGTTTCTTCACAGTGAAACGGTATGGTACCAGTAGTTGTAGTGATTGTTCTAGTAAGAAACGACATCCACTTTTATTGTTTTTTTAAGTTGCATGGAGGAAAAAACATTAAGGGAAAAAACATGAAAGGAAAAACATCAAGGAAAAAAAAGAAAGGGAATTTAATGGGTGCGACGCGTGCGGAGCTGATTGGGTGGTGTAAGCGAAAGAACAAGAGCGGGCGAGTCGGTGTCCCGCGAACTGCTTTACAAGATTATGTAGGAACGCTTATTCGTGAGACACCTTGCGAAGAGCTTCGCAAGATTATGTAGTAAGACTGCCTCATTTCGCAAAACGTCTCGCGAAGCGCTTCACAAGATTATGTAGGAACGCTTATTGCGCGAAACGTCTCGCGAAACGTCTTGCGAACTGCTGAGAAAGGGAGGACTTTTTTTTTTTTTAAAAACGTTCGTTCTCGACCGAATTTTTTTTACATTTGATGAGGGTTCAGCAGCAGCATCGTTCGATCGATACGCACGGACTCATCCATCAACTGCTTCCCACTTTTTACCACTGTCTCATCACTACTCTTCGACACTGTTTTCGTTTCGCTCGTCCCGTCTCTCAGCAACACCTTCATCCACCTCCTGTCTCGATGCCTCACGAATCAGCGCTCACTTTGACTTCCATCAACCCCTTCCATGTCTGCCGCTGTGTCTTCCTCAGACATTCTCCATTCTTTTCTAGTCATCTCTTGGCATCTCTTAAAGGAAATTCACCAAGTACAAGCATAGGCCACGATGGAAGTCTTGCCATATCAGCTCAGGCCACCCTTAGATGGGGCGTGGTCAACGGATTCACATCTCTGCCACGCTGATCGGGGAGGAGACCGCATGGTGGATAGGCTTCGGTCTGCGGCCACGTACCCTTTGCGGCCGTGTCGGTAGATTGTTGCATCCTAGGGAAGACTTGAAACGAGGGGGAAACAATGAACACGCGAGGTCGTGACAGACCGGTTGCTCGTGCTTTTGAAGCAAGACAGCTATGGTGCGTCGTGATCTCCCTCGTCCCCTATAATTATAGCTTTGGTTATCACCGTAGTAAGAATGGCCCTAACGTCTATCTTTTTTTCTTCGCCTTTGTAATTGTTGGTCTCGTTCAATGCGAGCGAGCTATGTCGTAGGCCGACTACCATAGAGGATTTTCACGGGAGCAACGTCGTGTCAGCATCAAAGTCGACAATATCGAGCCCACCGGGAACTGAAAGAATGGATGGCTACGAGCAGGAGTTTGGTGGCCTGTCAGAATTGGTGTGTGTCAAAGAGTACATGATGTGGCTCGTAGAATAGGCGAAGTCGTCGGGGAGTATTTCTTTGGCATCGTTTGTGCAAGAGTTTGGGTTTGTGAACTTGGAGGGTGCCGAAGCAGCGTATGAAACGCTGATCAATTCCTCTCGGCTCCGAGAGGAGCGTCGATGAGTGTTGTTGGTGACATACGAGATGTTTATACGGAGCAAGTTGCAGTCATATTGGTCGAGTCATTTGCTCAAGATGGAGAAGCGGGAGGCCAAAACCAACCTGGAGATAGCTGTGACCAAGTCGGCAAGGGTGGTGCAGACAGCAAGCGCGAGGGAGATTGCCAATGCTACCAAGTTGTTGGGGATGGCGGTGGCGACCGAGGTGAGTCGGCATGTGCTCTCAGGTCAAAACGCACATTAGAAGGTAACATCATTCACTGATGCATATGCATGCTCCTCGCCATTGTTTTTATCCATTAGTTGTTGCAGGACCTGATCTAGTGCTACGTTTATCATATTTTTTAACTGGTATTGTATTGAGTAGATGCTCCATTGAGGGATAACAAGATGCAGGAAATGATACCGAGGAGCAAGGGGAGCAAAGGGAACGAAGGCAGCACTAGGGTATCAAGGATGACGAGAGACGTTGATAGCGATGCTGACGACGCAACCGTGGTGAGCGCTCAGGAGCAGGAGGGCCTTCCGTACAGAAAATGAAACGCCAGCAGCACAGTCAGCAGCAGCAGCAGCAGCAGCAGGGATTGGGGAGCCTGGTGCACCGCCAAGTTTACTTTGATCCGACTACCATCACCGCCTCTCAGTTCGTGATCGAGGGTATCAATACTGGAACATCTTTCAGGCTGCTACAGGAAGGAGCTGACCCGTCGATGATGATGTCAAGAAGACGCTGACGCTGGATCAGCTTCCCCGCTTTCTGTAAGCTTTGTCTACGATTGCGGACATTGTGATTTCCATATCTATGATGTGGACACTAATGTGCGCCCTACACTTTTTTTTGTCTTGCAATTCTTGTAAATAGGGCTGCCAACCATATTTGAAACGCGACGTACCAATTGCTAGGAATGTTGGATGATGACCATGATGCCGTACAGGCTGCGCTTCGTGTTCCCGTCGCTCGTCAGCCGGATCAGCTCGTGTTGTTCCGTCGATCTTCTGGTGCATGATTTGACGTCTAAGGGGTATATCTGCTCACGCGACACCAAGTTTCGGGATCAGGATGCATTGCCCATGTTGTTCCAACAAGCTTAAGCGATGTACCATGTTTTTCATGGATAAATTTGAACAGGATTATTGTCGGCGTGTGATATTCTCCTCCAACCGCATACCGCATATATTAGTTTCCCCTTTCAATCGTTGCGGATCGTAGGAGTCAAAGGCTTCCCATAAGGTTCTTGCCGTTCAAGCACCTTCGGAATGAGGACACGCATGCACACTCCGTTCGTGACAGCTTGCTCACGTTTGCGTTCCCTGCCTACCATCGACGATACGAGCTTCATTGGGGTAATCAAAAATCGGATGGATCGCGTGCACGCAGGGGCGGAGACGCGTATAAGGTAAACTTCTGTGGTTTTATTTAGTGCAAGGGGAGGTTGAAGGAGGTTCCGATGAGGAACGCTAATCACAGAGGCCAAGATCCTCTCTTTTATACTACCTTTTCTGATCTATGTTCTTGTTCTTGGTATACTTGGCATCTTGTATATGTCAATTGGACCCAATAGGGGGTATCAAAACTTGACATTTGAGTGTAGCCAAATGCGCCGTCAAGGAAATCCGCTATAGAAATACGTTTCCTCGATGGCTGATGTATTTCAAATACGCCATTGAATACGCCTCGATTTGAATGGGGGCATGTCAAGGCTTGAAACACCTTAATGGATCCTTTGCATGTAGCCTGATGCAGCCGTGGTTAAGGATGGCTTCGAGCTGGGATCTGGTGGAAGTGAAGCCGCCAAGGTAGGAGCGCCATCAGCGGCTTTATCTGGAGGACGTGTGGGCGCTATCTAGATTCGCCAAGGACTACATTGATCTACATTCGAGATACTCCAGGATCCTTACAACTGCTCCTTGCGTGCTCGTGTTCGGTAAGCAAAGGGCACTCCAACTAGGTCTCTGAAGTTTGATAGAATAAGGTATTAACACCTCTTTTTTTTTTTTTTTTTTTTTTTTTTTTTGCTTGGCTATTAACGGGCAATAGGCTTTCAAATGACACTGTACCAGCTCTCATTCCAAGCGAGCATTTATGATTGGCAGGATGTGCACACCTCCTACTTGCCAAAGAACCGATACGATATCGGCAACGTGACGGAGTGCGTAGAGCTTGCTCAAGACGTTTAAGGTAAAATTGACCCCTCCACTCCATAGTGAATGTGATTATTACAACTAGTTTTTAAGGCTCATCTGCGAATGACAACCATTAAATTATTTGATTGTACATCCTAGATTATCAGGGATGAAGTTGAGATAGAGTGTTACATTCAAACGCCAACCAAGTATGTGGAGGACGATGAGGAACTTCCGGACCTGTTTCGTCACGAATATCACTCCTGCCAAGTGGCCGTTCTTTGATTATGCGGCGTCTTGACGGTAGTGCGGAAGGTTGATCTGCTTCGTCTCTTGGGAATAAAGGCTTACCGGTTAGTCTAGCGTGTCCATGTTTTTTTTTCTCTAGCATAGGCCGAAAGAAGGTGTGGAAAGAAGCTTGGCTGGGAAGTAGCATTGTGGTGATGAGATTATGGATGAAAAGTAGATAAATGGGGGGGGAGGGGGGACAAGGAGGGGGAAAGAAAGTGGGAAACGTTGGGTGCCTATCCGTTACAGTGACTCACTTAAGCTACCATGCAGAAAATCAATGTGACACTGTAACCAGAGTGAGATGGTAGAAGAGGCTAATTACCTTGGACACCCGATGGCTATGGGAGAACCGCGCCTACTACTCCATGTGGACCCTAGAAGGCAGCATGTTCTGTACCCGCACCTGGATCGAAAGGCCTTTGGGCAATAAGATTGGAAGAGGTTTCAATTCCCTGGACTTTGTGCCAAAAAAAAAGTGGGCTGTATACTTTTGTGGGGATCAGAGAGCCGGCCACGCTACGTTCGAGCGTCTTTTTCGAAACGTGAAAATGCTTATCGCGCGACCCAGGTTTATTTGGTCTCAGGATCAGTCAAATAATTAATAGAACAGGTGCATTCACCACTCACAACGAGTTCAGAACATGGAAAAGAGAGAGAGCGAGAACAAACGAACGAAGAAACGAGTAGACAGGCACTAACAAGGGACACACGAGGAACGAAATACTAAAGAACACCGTCTTTTTAATAAAGAACGCCGAATAATGAACGAGGAAAACTGACTATGGCCCATGGTATATGTAATGTGATGATGAATGTAATGAATGCAAAAATATCGTCTATATTCCTTTACCCCTCCCCTTGCCTGCACAAAAAAAAAAAAGAAAGACTCCGTTATCTAAAGGGTCATAGTGACGGTCAAACTCTTGGCATGGATCAACAAGACAGGGATATCAATCCCCTCCATCAACAGATCCAACTGCTCCAAGTACGCTAACGAGCTCTCCTCTCTCAGACACGTCCCCTCTCCGGGCGCCGGGACCGTCGTGAACACGATAGAAGTCGTCTCGGCCGAGGAATGGATCCGCATCAACTCGTTCAGGATCATCAGTTGCGCTTCTGGGTTGAGATGGTCAAACTGTAGTGGCGCCGAGAGCTCTTGGTGAGTTGTTGTGGTGTCGATGGGGAGAAGACCTTCTGCAAACATGGGGACTGCAGGCTGGATCGGCGATATCGACGTGGTCGAAGCGTTGGAGTATGAGGATGAAGAGTGCTGATCTCCGATGGCGGTGGTGGTCGCACCAGAAGGAGCCGCACGGTGCGAAGCCTCATTAGACGGCAATGAGGCAGGCAAGCCAGAAGAGTTCCATGCATTGCTGCTGCTCGATCCAGAATGTCCCAACACAACCGGAGTCGACGACAAGTACTGCTGACGATCGACCAAGGACGATGATGTACTCGCCCAAAGGTTGACGGCCGCCTCGGGCGTATCTCCCATCGTGGGCGATGGCTCCTGGAACCGTTGCTGTGAATCAAAGAGCTGTGGGTCCTGCGAAGGCGAAGTAGCATATTGTTGGTTATTGTTGTTGTATATTGATTGGCCAAGGACATGTTGCTCGTTGTCAGTCGAATGACCTCCGAAAGCAATGCCAAGGCCTGGTTCAGAACCTAAAGAGGTATGTGCAAACGCCGACGAAGTGGGTGGTAGTGGCGACTGCTGTGTATGATGCTGGGGTGGTGATGCGAGGGATTTGTACAAGTTGTTGATGTTGGTGTTTTGCTGTTGTTGAATGTGTTGAGTAGGGTGTGCAGAAGGGAACTGCCTCCGACCATGCGGCGAGAGATGTTGTAAACGAGGAGATAGTAGCGCCTGTTGTTGTTGTTGTTGTTGTTGTTGTTGTTGTTGTTGTTGTTGTTGTTGTTGTTGCTGTTGTTGCTGCTGTTGGTGCCACCCGCCTCCATAGATCAAATCATCGTCGTTGTGGTCATAGTCCTCATCGTCCTCGCTGCTAATCGAGTCCGACTCGCTCTCAGAGTTTGATCCATTGGGGTCAAAGTAGTGGCGTGGAGGAGGCAAGCCAATACGGAAGCTCATTGAGGTGCCCAAAGGAACAGATGTTCCCAGTCGAGCCTCCATAGGCGAAGTGGGACCGACTCCCATCGTACTCCGGCGACGGAGACCACCACCACTTCCTGAGCTGCTAGACGCGAAATGCTGGGATCCTGGGTGTGCAGGAGTCATGGCCAGTGGAGATCCCTGTCGTAACCTTGGAGAAGCTCCAGTTTGAACACGAAGAGCGTGCGGGCTCTGCTGGCGAAATGGAGGTCGATCTGGGTGCGAGATAGTCCTTCTCCTCTGCGGCACCTGTGCTAGCGGGGCTGAAGCCTGGAAGACGGGAACATTCTGACCGCGGGACCCAAAGTTCCTCTGTGCAATGGTCGGATCCTTGACGCGGATGGGGTCGCGCTGCCCAGCAACGTTGGAGTAAGGACCAGTCTCGTGAGAAGAGTCGCGTCCATCGTCGTGGATTTGTGGCATTTCTTCTTGACTGGTGACACCTTCCACGTCCTCGTCCTCCTCGTGCAATGCAGCCTCCTGTTGCCAGAGTGGGTTGATGTTCCTGGGTGTGACTCTCTGAGCCACAGGCGCGGCAGGCGATTCCGGCTCTTCTGAGTCGCTACCTTCCTCAGAGTTGTACTCCATGGCCATATCCTCAATAGGGTACTCGTCTAGGCCTTCTCCCTTGATGAGTCGGTCGTATGTCTCGCTGTCACCCCCGTCCAGACACATCACCTTCACCTCGGCCGGGATACGCAAGTTCTCCAAGAGTGCCTTGAGTCGCTTCTTTTCCTCCTCGACATCCTCATTGTACTCGACAAAGACCATGACACGGAGGGTAAAGTTTTCCTTCCAGTGCGGAACCATGTGAAGGATGCAACCCATCTGCAAGACCATGGTGTAGGTGTCAAAGTTGGTTAAATTAGCCTCGGCCATCCGGCTTGGTCCAGCTGCTCCTGATCCTGTAGGGTCAGTGAATGTGGCTCCTGCACCCGGGGTCATGGGAGAACTGGCGCTTAAGTCCCGGGAGAAGCGCTTGTTGCCAGGGAAGGAAGGTGTTGCTTGGAGACCTGCGTCATAGCACTCTAAGGGGGCAATTGACATCTGCATTGGCCACAGGTCAATGTACTTCTTCTTCCCGCTCTCTCCGTGCTTGTAGACCGACGACGGACGAGATGAGGACGAAAAGAAGGGAGAGGAGAGTCCACTTGATCCAAAGCTAAACATCTTCCACATACTCTTGTGCTCCTCTGGAAGGTCTAGTCGCTCAAAGCCATAACCAATCGCCACAGCCTTATTCAAGGAGAGCACATCCTCGATGATAGAGACATAGTCCGTGATCTTGATGGGCGCCTCCACGCGGATGTTGTCGATGGGCAGACTGACAGGGATGTTGAGCAATGTGTGGTCGGTGTTGGAGTTGTTCATGGTGCTAAGAGTCGGAGCACCCTTTTGGGGAATCAGAGGTGACTGAGGCAAACGCGGCGACAGCAACTGTTGTGACTGCTGCTGTAGTTGTCGAAGCTCCTGCTCCTGTTTGTCTCTTTGATACCGCTCGAGGTTGAAGGACCCCATGACGACAATGTTTGGCCGCATGCCACCGAGTCCTGTCCCGATCAACAAGTTCCTGGCTCCGATCCTGACACTGTCTGCGACGCTCAGATTTACAAACGCCTTGATCTGGAGGACGTCGACAAACTTGAGCCAGCTCCCCTGCTGCCGCCGGTACTCTGCTAGAACATCCCGGAAGTCGCCCAGAATGACGTGCCCAAGTACGTAGAGCGCACCCTTTTTCAAATGATTGCAAAACTGGATCAAGTGATATTCAGACCGAGGGTGGTGCACCAGAAGCAGGATCTGAGGTCTCCAAAACTTGACGTGCTCCTTGCGGGAATCCAGTCGCAACAAGTACTTGCGGACCTGATGGTAGATCAAACTCTGGGTCACATCGCCCCAGCGCTTGGGAGGCGACCAATAATGGATCCAAATGAACAGCACTGCAGTCATCAATCCACTCAGAAGACTCTTGCCCAGATCCACCGATCCCATGACAAGGGCGCAGAGGACCATGCCTCCAAAGGCCGTCCACCAGTGGAAGAATCGGAAGCTGGGTCGAAAGTTGGGTGCAGATCCAATTTTGAGGAGAAAACAAGCCAGGTTAAGGATCAAAAAGGTCAAGAGGGTGATCATCGACACGAAGGTGGCGATCGCGTTCATGTCGGTCAAAAAAAGGCAGAACTGGCAGAGAATGTATGTCAACAAGACAGCAAGAGTGGGTTCGTCTGTTCTGGGTGTTCCCTGGCCAAAGACCGAGAGAAGAGGGAGCAAATTGTCTCGAGCAATTGCCTGCAGAATTTTGGCCGCGCCGATAACACTGCCCAACGTTGCAAAAACGGACGCTGCGAGTGATCCTGAAGCAATGAACAATGGAGAGACAGATACCTACATGGTTTCGGATCACAAAAATAATACGCGTCAGCATTTTGAGCGTGGAATGTCAAACATTCTGAAACAAAAAGTGGGTCGGGGTTGGCAAAGCTGCTTCGAACATACATCCTGGAGGACGCTGAGATCCGTGTACATGGTGCTGCGGGAAATGGATCCTCCCATCAAAATGACGATGCAGGTGTAGACGCAAAATGAAGATCCGACAGCCCAAAGAGTTCCCTTAGGGATTGACTTGCTGGGGTCCTCCAAATCTCCCGACATGGATGCGCCTGGTGTTTATGTGGCATAAAGCAAGTCAGTCATTGAGCTCATAAACGGGCTTTTCACACAGTGCTATACAAAAGCGCAAACAGACAGACACATACCTGCAAGAATACCGATACAGGCTGGGAAGAGAACTCCAAAAACGGTCTCGAAACTCTCTTTGGGTCCATCAGGTCCATTAGTTGCTGTGAACTTTGGCCACATGTTCTCCTGCAGTGTCTCCCAAGAAAATCCTGTGTAGTCGATGTTGCGCTCCAGATGTGTGAATGGCGGCATGACAGCAAACGAGACAAAGATGGATAGGGTTGACAACAGGATAATGACGGCCAAGACCAACGAAGCACGAGAAAACAGCTAAGAATAAAATGAAACGAGCGAATATAGTCATCAAAGGGGTGTGAGTCTGAGACACATTCAATTGATCCCTTGCATCGTATCTTTAGAAGACTCCTTGTGCCCTTTTTTTTTTTTTTTTTTTTTTTTTTGGCTTGTTCTAGTTTACCTTGGATCCAACAAGACAGATGAGAGTACAGGAGACTAGCAAGATGGTCCCATATATGAATCCCCAGACCTACATGACAAAATCATTTGGAAATATGGTTATAATTTTCTGTGAGTATTAATCCTGCAAGTGTAGGAGGACCCCTTCAAAACATGACACAGGGCGAGACGCGCAGTTGCGGTGGTACAATACCGGACCCTCGGGTAAGACACGGTAGACGGTTCCTGAGGACTCGCCAAAGTTGGAGATCAAGGGTTCCACAAAACCAAGCACGTTCATGCCGCAACCAATGACTGTGCCCAAGAAATAGATCAGTCCAATGCTCCCTCCGAACTCTGGTCCCAGACTTCTACTCAGCAGGTAGTACACGCCTCCGCCTAAAAAAATTGAATGGGGGAAAATAGTGAGCACCATGTCATGCATCATAGCATGGATCAAAACGTGATGACAACAGGTGGTACGAAATTAGCCACAAAACTGGTTACCTCGAACGGTGCCATTGGTACTAATGGCGCTGAGTGAGAGCGTCGTGAAGATGTTGATCGCGTATCCTACAATGAACATGGCCATCGTGCCCATGACGCCGGCTTGTGCAATGATGAAACCGAAACGCAGGAACAGAATGATGCCCCAGATACTGAGGATGCATGGCACAAAGACACCCGAAAAGACACCGAGCTTTGACGATTTTGTTGTGGCAAGGGCTGGGTTAAGCAGGGTTGGGAAGGCAGGCTCGGCTAGATCCTGCAACTTGTCCAGGCTTTGTTGACTGCTCCTGGCATCAGGGATTGGCGTGGCTCCGTATGTTCCGACACCTCCTTGACCATTCAAGAACTTTGATTGAGTATTGTTGTTCTTTGCGAGAAGATGTGCCTGTTCGTCGAGGCCTGTCGTGCTATTATTGTCTGATGGAAAAGATTGGGAAGAGAAAAAATGATGAGCCAAACAAAAGCAAGGGTTATACGTGACAGACAGAGACAGGGGCAGATGGATGGACGGGTAGAAGGGGCGCGAGAAAAAGACAACCAATACGAGAGACAGAGAGACAGAGCGAGAGAGAGAGAGAGATGCGAGCGAGGAATAATAAAAGCCATCAAAGATCTGCATTGGATGTGTAATGTGTAGGGATATGAAAATAGCTAAAAAGATGAGATCGGGGACTATATGGATGTGATGTTTAGATGATACTCACCCTCTAGCAAAGAGAAGATGACCATTCAACCCAGAGGATTGAACTTTTTGGACGGCTCTTTTTTTTGTTGTTATTGTTGCTGGTGTTTGCTATTTGTTTACCTTGGGAGTCCTGATCGGCCTGTTGTCGCTGCTGCTGGAGCTGTTGAGCCCTGGCTTGGGCCAATGCTTGACTCGCAAGCTCTTCTTCTTGTGCAGCTGCATCCAGACTGAGACTTCCGCGTCGGAGCCGACGGTTGAACGCATCGAGGTTCTCCTTCCAAGTCACAGCCTGGTAGGCCGTCTTTGGACGCGAGATACCGGGAAGAACAGCATTGGCCGGTCTCGCGGTCCTGCCAGAACTTGAGGTTGCAGTCGAGGACGTGACCGAGGAGGCAGAGGAAAGCAGAGGTTGAGAAGATATGGACGATCTATGCGCATATGTGTTGTTGTTGTTGTTATTGCCGGTATTGCTGTTACTGTGGTTGTGGCGGGCAGTGATTGTGGAGGGAGAGGAGTAGGGTCTGTCGAGGCGTGGGCGAAGTGGGGGTTTGGGAGCTGCAACAGAAGGAGTGATGTCTATGGATGAAGGGGTGCCATGGCTGTTCTGTCGCTGTTGTGACATTTGTCAGAAGCGCTTGTTTTTACAAAGTTGTCGTCGTGTATGCTGGACAAGAGTGTGATTCCAGGGCGGAGTGTGAGGACGGAAGAATGACAAAAGGCAGGAGGGTGAATGAGAGGAAGGAGGTGGGAGGAATGGAGAATGGTGTGAAGAAAGAAGGAGAAGAAAAAGAAAAAGAAAAAGAAAAAGAAAAAGAATGAGAAGAGAGAGAGAGAGAGAGGGAGGAAAAGAAAAAAGAGAAAAAAAGGCAAAAAGGGAAGAGGGGCAGGAGAATAACTCTTGTTCGTCGTCAGTCTGGTAAAGAGAAAGAAAAAAGCATAAAGAACCAAAAAAGGACGGCACGAACAAGCTTTATCTGCTCATTCTCTCTGTGCTTGCAAACAAAGGAGAGGAAAGGAAAGGCCCATGACTGGTCCCTGCCAGTCAACGAGATAGATCCTGGTCCTGCGAGGACATATTGTTATTCCTTTTCTCTCTCAGTCAGTGTCCTCTTGTGGTAGGTGGTGGATGGGAGGCAAGCTCAGGTTGGGATTGAACCTTCTTTTTTGTTTTTTTTTTTTTTTTTGCTTGCCAGTGCTGTCTTACCTCACTATTCAAGTCTTCTGTCAAGGTCAAGCAAGAAACATGTATCGATGGGGACAAGAGGAGAAGGGGAGTATGGATGGTTGCTTCATGCCTGTGCAAACACGGGAGCGAGCGAGAGAGTGAAAACAACTCGTAAGGAAGAACAACGGCTGAGCAGGGGAGAATGAGGGAGAGTGAGGAGAGTGAGTGAGAGAGGATCCTTTTTTTTTATGCCTCAAAAGGGGTCATGCAGGCAGAGCAAGAGCCGAGCAGTCACGCAGGGACGATTCGAGCAGCCAATCAGCACACATCCTTGGACCCTGTCGTCTGTGTCCTTGCAGCTGAAGTTCAGCTAAAAAAGAGAGAAAGAGGTCGTCGCTCCTTTACCCTTCAACACTCCCACGCTACTACCTCTTAAGTTCCACTGTTCATTATTTTCGTTGCTTCTCCTTGTTGTTTTTTTCCTTCTCCTTCCTCTCCCCCCAACTTCACTCCCTCCACTTCTCTCCACTCCATTCTCCTCTTAAACTTCACTGTTATCACTCATTCCCCTCCACCCACCTCAACAACAACAACAACCCCCCTTTCTCTCACCTTTCCTTCCTTCGCCACAAAACCTAAAACTTACTCATAAAATGACTGATGATAAAAAGCCCGCTGGTCCTGCCCCTGGCATGAACCATGCCGATGTTGCCATCGCTATCCAGGCCGACAAGGACGCCCGCAGTGTCGAACGCAACACCCAATTCCTCAAGATCGACATGCACACGTACGACGAACGTCCTCTCTTCTTCCTCCACCTCACCCCCTTGGCGTTTTTATCCTTTCTCTTCCTTTCCGCCTCTCCACCTTCCCTTTCCTCTGATCCAAAACCCCCCCCAGTCATCACTATACTCTATGCTAATTGCTCCTCCTGTGATCATTCCTCCTATCCTGATAGGCATATCCTCCCCAAGCACTGGCCTGACCTGAAGAAAAAGTACGGATACGGCTCATGGATCCAACTCGACCACATCGAACCGGTAAGCTCTCTTCCTCAACAACTGCAACAACACTCGGAAAAAAAACCCTTTCCCTCCTTCCGACAGAATGACAACACGACTTACTCAACTCGATCAAAACACCTGAATGCTTCTTCTCTAGGGCAAAGCCAACATGATGATGGACGGCAAGAACTTTAGAACCATCGAATGCAACTGCTGGTCGTCCGAGCAGCGCATTAAAGAGTGCAATGCCACTGATGTCGACGTCCAGGTAAATGACTTGAACATCGATGACGGGACGGAAACAGAGATGAGCTCATTATTTTCTGTTGTTCCTTACTCACTGCATAAACGACTGTTTGACCAACCGTTTTTATATGCATGGTCGCTCATATGAATTAGGTCTTGTCGACAGTCCCAGTGATGTTCAACTATGCGGCCCGCCCTGAGCACACCCTCGATCTCGCCAGATACTTGAACGATCACATTGCTCAGGTCGTCGCCGAGGACCCCAAGCGCTTCGTCGGTCTCGGAACACTCCCCATGCAGGCTCCCAAGCTGGCCGTTCAGGAATTGAAGCGTTGTCGTGAAGAGCTTGGCCTGACCGGTATCCAGATCGGAAGCCATATCAACGACTGGAACCTCGACGCCCCCGAACTCGACCCCATCTGGGCTGCCTGCGAGGAGACCAACGCCGTCGTTTTTGTGCACCCTTGGGACATGGACAACAAGGGTAGGATGGAGAAATACTGGTTCCCCTGGTTGGTCGGCATGCCCTGTGAGACTACCATCTCGATCTGCGCCATGGTGATGGGTGGTGTTCTTGAGCGCTTCCCCAAGCTCAAGGTCTCGTTTGCCCACGGAGGAGGCTCCTTCCCCGCAACCGTCGGTCGCATTCAGCATGGATTCGAGGTCCGCCCAGACCTGTGCGCCACCAGGACCAAGAACGGTCCTATGTAAGTCAGAAACCCCGCCTCTTTGTCCTTTTTGCTTTCAAAGAAAATGTATTGCCTTTGGCTATGATATGACTCGTCTAGTCCACTTTGTAATGACACCCACTCTTTACTCACCTTATCCATGCCTTCTCTCAATGCCAATCACGAAATAGGACATACTTGAACCGCATCATGGTCGACTCGCTTGTGCACGACGAGGAGACACTCGAATTTTTGATCAAGAAGATGGGTATCGATAACATTATGCTCGGATCCGACTATCCCTTCCCCTTGGGTGAGCTGCATCCTGGAAAGATGATTGAGGAGGCTCGCTGGTTGACCAACGAGGAGAAGACCAAGCTCCTCAGTGGAAACGCCATCCGGTTCTTGGGACTTGACCACTTGTTGGACACCAAGATGTCCGAATAGAAAAAAAAAATAGAAAGAAACCTCATGAAATAAATAATTCGCGCTTTGTACTTTTCATCATCATCGCCATTGATGTGTGGAAGTAAGTTTTCGAGGCTAACCCAACAAAACAAACGCGAGATGTAGCATGGTATTATTCTTTGAAGTAGCGATGTATGAAAAGTAATTGGCATATGCTAAAATTTGCCACTAAAATACCGATGGAAGCAACCGCGTGCCTTTTTCCTTCACGAAGAGTCATTTGTCGATACCACATGGTTGTCAAGTGCGCGGGCATTGTGCAACTGCTGTTCTAAATATGAAAAAGGTTACTTCGGGCAGCATTGGGACTCGTTCGAAAAAAGAAAAAAAAAAACAACCTGGACCAATCGTCACTGTTGCCACCATTGTCTGGAAACCGCGGCTGTTTGTCCAAGGTTTGAGGGTTGGTGGCGTCATTCTACTGTTTTTTTCTGGAGGTCGTGAAAAAGGACCGAGCTTCTCAAGCACCAATATGAACAGAAGTATGATAGTAGTAAGGCAGAATGGGTATGGCCCACGCTAGAGCTGTGCGGTGATCTTGCACGTCACTAGACGATTGGAGCCATCATCCATTTCACCCCAAGGCACGCGGAGGGGCAGTGACAGACAGTCCTGAAGGTTTTCTTTTTGCCTCTTGGTCAGAAAATCAACTTCATTTATGTTTACTCTATTAAGGCCCTTCTCAAGCCTCTCTGCCTGGGTTTGGGCAGACGTATTTTTAAAAATTAGACTCCTTTCCTTGTCGTGCCTTTTTTTTCTTTTCCCTTTTCCCTTTCCCAGCAAAACCACTCTTCTCTTCCTGTCCCATCGTCCCTTTTTTTCTCGGATCGTCTTTCTTTCTTCATACATCACTCTTCAGGACAACTTGCACATAAAAACTTCACACACACATACACTTCAGGGATCACAGGACACAGGACATCTTTATTCACATACCTACCATTCCTCAACATATCTCATACCAAACATACCAAACACCCTAACCTCACCCACCCCGACTGGAATGGCCGCAACCAACTCGACTGGCTCAGGCCAAGACAAGCCGACTTCACAAGGCGCCAACGGGACCAACAACGCCACTACCAACGGCACCGTCGCCACAGGAACAGCAGCACTAGTCGCAGGACCTAACAGCGCCAACACCGAGGTCTGGTCCAGTCTGCTAAAGTCCGTCGCATCCTCCCGTATGGTCCCCGCAAAAGATGTCATCATCCTTGGTGACCCTCATTCAGGCAAATCAACCCTCATTGACCTCCTCAAGACCGCCCTCCCAGAGCCCTCCTCTGACGCGCTTGCTAACGGCGAAGACGGGTCCAATGCTGGAGGTGTAAACGGGCACCATCAAGGAGGAGCGAATGGGGTTGCTAACAGTGGCAATGGCTCTGCACCAGTCATGGTCGAGATGGGGACTGGCACGAGTGACGATAATATGTTTGCGGGAGCGCTGAAGAAGAATGACTTGGCGCTGAGTTATTCTTTCTGGAACGTCGAGGACGATGAGAACGAAGGTATGCTTTTTTATGTTTGTTTGCTTGTAGAAGCATTACCTCACATGACTCTCTTGACTTTTTGACTTTGGCTTCGCTGATGAATTGGGTGGGCTGGGTATTGGTAAACAGGACTCTCAACAAGGCGACGATGAAGACAAGCTCGAGGGTGGAAGGTGACGACGAGCATTCATTCAAAGGAATACATATCGCAAATGACTTGATTTTTTTCTGTGCTGTTGTTGCGAGGGGTCAGATTGAAGCCGGGTTGGTAGCAGGGCTTTTAACATGACGACGACGAAGACAAGTTCGAGGACGACAACACCAAAAGAAGTATAAACGACGAGAGATACTTTCACAAAGAAGCGAGGGAGTGAGAATTACAGGGACAACGATATTCAAAGGAACATGAAGAACGAGACATTCTTAAAGAAGAAGAAAATGGTCGAGAGAGGCAAAGAGATAACCAGGGATGCTAGTTGTCAACTTTCTTTTGCAACTCACTCTTCTAAACCAAATCTACTTCTTGAAACGACAATGACTTTAACAATAGAAACGGTGGCGAGATTGGGCATTTATCAGGTCGCAGGATCGCACAAGAGCTACCATGCGTTGCTCAAGTACTGCCTCAACACAAAGACGATTGCCGACTCTGTCATTATGATTGTCCTGGATTGGGCAAAGCCCTGGACATTCATGGAGACTTTACAACGCTGGATCAAAGTCTTGGAGGGCGCACTTCAGCAGATCTGTCAGGAAGGTGCCGTCGCAACAGCTACATGGACCAAGGGCAAGGCATTGATGGACGAACTTCAGGAAAAATGTACGTATCTCGTCACAATTCGTCTGTTCCATATGTTGGGGATGGAAACAAGTCCTCAGGGACCAAAATGAAATGGCAGACTCTACAACAAATGGGACGAGGGGAAGTCATCCTTCTTTTTCATTCTCCCACTTTTTTCATTGCTTGAGCGTCTGTGCCTCCTTACTCTTTGGACATATATTTCGAGGGTCCCTTGACTGGTCACATTTTTACTTTTTGTTATCGCTCTCTTTGGCCTAGTGAGTGGGGGATGAAAAAAAAGAGTAGAGACAAGCGAGCAAAAAAGAGCAGGATAATATGGTTGCTTTATTGAGGAGACGAGACTTTCACATGCGACTTTTGCATGGGTTGACCAAGCAAATAAGGATGCAAACAAAAACTTCCATGTGCTTAATAGTCCTAACATTGGCGTGTCATTTGTACTCCTCGTTACTCGACATTAGTGGCACGTTTCCTTCAGGAGTACACCGAGCCACAGCCTCACCCATCTATCGGATCAGCCGTCTTCAGCGAGAGTCAGACGTTCAGCCTCGGCTCGACTGATGCTCAGTCAGTTCTTCTTCCCTTGACAGAAGGATGCCTGACCAACAACACAGGAGTGCCAATTGTCATTGTCTGCACAAAGGTATAGAACAACGAAATGCCTTTGGCTGATAGAAACTTTTGGTCGACTTGACTGGAGAGGCTCTGTTCCTGAGTATTAATGCATTTCTTCCTTTTTTTCCTTGTAAACACGCAAGTCTGACCACATCAACAGTTTGGAGCGCGAGCAGGATTATCAGGAAGAGACGTTCGATTACATTCAGCAGTCGCTCAGAACCATCTGCTTAAAATGTAAGGAGCACTTACGACGAACGAAATCATCAACGGGAGCAGCAATTGACAAACGTGCAAGATGAAAGTATGCCAGGCGGCTATTTCATTGATTGCAATTCCAATTACTGACTGAGCCAACACTCTATCTTCCATCTCGTTTCATTATGGGTTCTACTCATCAGATGGCGCAAGTTTGTTTTATACCTCGATTCACCACCCTCATACATTCGCCAGCCTTCGCCAGTACCTCTTGCACCGACTCTTGACACCCTCGACCCTCAACAACACACAGATTCAGCAGCCCTCGAACTTTCACTTCAAGAAGCGAGCTCAGGTGGTAGAGCGTGATCAGGTCATGGTTCCTGCTGGATGGGATTCGATTGGAAAGATCAAGGTGCTGAGGAATGGATTTGACTGTGAGGGCGTTGCAAATGACTGGGATTTGGACGCAAAGGGGACTGGTGAGGGCGAGGCCGCTGATGGCCCTTTGCCCGAGGGAGCCCGCAAGGTGTATGAGGAGACGATCGTCAACCCAAAACGCAGCCATGCCGTAAGTCGGTTCACCAAGAATAAGAAAAACAGGTTTTGCTGCGAATTTCATTATTTCGCAGTCAGAGGACGACCACTAATCATACATCGTTGGTATATATAATAGCCAATCACGATACAACCCATCATTACAGCAGAGGACGACCAAGTGTTCTTGGACAGATTCTTCGAGACGTTACAGCGTTCGAACGAGCGCTCGAGCGTGGCACCAGGATCGTCGATGGGAGGAGCAGCATCTGCAGGATTGCATGGCGCTCACGGAGCTGCCAGTGGACCTCCAGTGGTCGGACCTCTTGGATCAGGATACACCCCCATGCTCAACAGCCACCATGCGTCGAGCCCACCCCCTACAGTCCCTGTGTCCTCGGTCGGCAGTGCAGGTGCAGGCGGTCGCCCTGGCGCGAACGGATATGATTCGTACGATGTTGAGGCTCGTCTGAAGGGGTTCACATCTAACAAGACGAAGGTCAATGGTGGCGCCTCGGGAATGATTGGACCTGCCCTCACCGGCGAGGGTGGATCTGCGGCGGCCAAGTTTATGATGATGATGGAGCAAGGACGGACCAACTCGGGTTCTCCACCAGCGTCGGCAGCCTCTGCGACCTCGTTGGGCGGTATGGCCTCTACGGGAGCTATGGCTGGACGTCCTGGCGCTGCGGGGGCTGTCGGTGCAGGTGGTGTGCCCGGAAGTGCACCCGGTGTTCCTCAGACCGAGGCCCTTTCGAATTTCTTCCAGTCGTTGATGACCAGAAAGGGCGCCATGCCCCCCCTTGGCGCTGGTGTTGGTGCTACTGGCGCTCCCGGCGCTGGTGCTTCTGCGGCATCGTCGGCCTCTGCCTCCGCTTCGGCTTCTTCAGGACCCGCTGGCAGCCCCGCCAACAACGATTCATAATGATGATTTACAGAAACAAAAAACACCATACATCGACATCAACAACTACCAGCACGAAAACATGACAAAAAACGAATCAGCAACCCAGTCGTGTAGAACATGGACAGAGTGCTGCTTTGGATCGCTCTTGCTTCCTCAGTAGCAATAGCTTCATTGTTCTTCACGAAATGTCATATGAAATACAGACATGATTTTTTTTAACGATCCCCTTGCGTGCTTTCTCTTTTCAATGTGTGGCCTTTGAGGGTTATAGGGAGTGAAGAAGCTCATTGACTCACGAACTCACGAACACCTCGTTCCCCCAGTGATATTTTTCGTCCGCACATCCCATTTCCCCATTAAGTGTTAGTTATTTCGTCATTTTATATCGACGATCTGTACACTACTGAAAACGCACACCTCCAATCCTACTCTCTCTCTCTCTCTCTCGGAAACCATAAAAAGGCTCCGAACAGAAAAAAAACCAAAAGATCTAGTTGAGGGTAACGGCCAAGGCGCCAGAGGGGACGAGCTGGAGGTCGTTCAATGTCTTTTCCAGATCGCTGCCTTCAAGCACTTTCCTGGGGAAGGACGTCATCAGCTTGAAAGCGCCCTGCCGGTGACCCCTGACGAACTCGTACACTGCGCTCAACTTGTCCGACGCTTGGAATGCTATTATCATTGATGAAGGAATAGAACAACAAACAATGTGTATTAGACACAGAGGTATGCAAACACGATAGTCGCACTCACGACGCGTATACACTCAACCAAACAGACAAAACGAAAAAAACATCCTTACTGTGAACGATGGGAGCTTGGCCCTCAGGCTGACGGATCTGCAGCCTAGTCTCCGTATAAACCTTCGCAGGTCCAGCCTTGGCGGCTGCCTCAGCTACAGCAACCGCAGTAGCAGCAGCCGCCGCCTGCTGGATCCCCGTCGTAGCCTCCAGCTTCTTCCGTGCACGTTCCGCCTTGTCCGCATCAATCCTAGCCTTGATCGCCAGTTTGGCCAACCGATCCTGCTCCTTCTCACGCTTCTTGGCCTCGATTTGCTTCTTCATTTCCTTTTCCTCAAGACGGAGCTTGACTTCGGTCAGGTCCTGACCAGCTTTACGACGGATCTTTTCAGAGGTCTTTAGGTCTTCCTTGTCCTGTGCTGCTTTGGCGGCGCGCTTGTCTGCGAGGCGTTGCTTCAGTTCTGCCAGCTTGGCCTGTTTCTCTTCCTCGCTACATGTGGCAGTAGAAAAGCAACGGTGTTAAAGGGGTTAGTGACGTCTTAATGCAACCAGGAACGGTAACAAACACAAATGCATAGAGATGAAAATGAACCTTTGTTGAAGAAAAAAAATATATCAAAAGACGTCACTTACGTCAATGGCTTGATGGCGGTGGTGGACTCTGCAAAGTTAACGTGCTCCGTTCGCATAGCATGTCGTTGAGCGGCTTCGGCTACAGAAAAAAAAAAGAGGTTGCAATCGTGTGAGCCGAAGGATATTCATTATTATTATTTTTTTCACGCTAATAGCAAAACAATATCCTGTCCCAAGTCAATGCAATCCCTGAATGTTTACCATCTCTGAGAATCATCTGGCAGTCCTGGCAGATAAGCGACTGTGCAGTCTGTTCACCATCTTGGATCACATCACCCTCTAAAGAAATTACCACACAAAGAACAAAGGAACGTCAGCAATTAACAAAGAACAAAGGAACGTCAGCTGTTAATCGAGAATGTCCTGGTCATCGCCGTTTGATACCAAGTCCGCCACAACAATTGATCCTGGCCTTGGATGATTTAAGGCGTACCTTTCTCTGTGGAGTCTTCGTCACCACCAGTTGCAGGGGTCGAAGATGCAGTACCGAGCGCGCCTCCGGCGTGTTCGAGGATAGGGTCGTCGATATCGGGGTCTTCTGAGTGCTCCACTAGCCTAACAAAAGCGCATAACAGGGAAAGAACAAGAACAACGTTTAATCTCAATGCAATGAAAAGCGCATGATGATGCCGCAGTCGTCACGAAAGCGACACCCGAAAAAAAACCCCCCTGCGTTTGCTCGGTCATATCTAGTGTCCTTTACCAGTCCATGGCGGGTTGGAGTCCTGCGCTCTTGGTAGCTCTTAGTGCCTTGAGACTATAATGTGACACCAGAGAGAAGGCGACGTTAGTTTCCAGTGCATTTCATTGTCGTGATAGTAGAGAGTTGAGACATCCATGGCAAAAGTGCCAATGAAGGAGTCATTACACTCGGTTCTTAGGGAAGCCCATTTCAAGGAGTTGGTCAGCGTCGGATGCCATGTCTTGTATATGTTTCTAGTAAGAGTTGTAAAAGTGTTGGTCCTGAGTGATGGAGGCGGGTTGATGAGAAGGAAAGAAAGGTGAAAGAAGGTGTGTCCCAAAGAACAAAAGTTGCGTAACTGGGGAACAAGGGCTATTGCGCGCGTCATGTCCCGTGATGACGCGTGACTGCGAATCATCCGAATCCATGGTTGTGGTTGGCCAAATGGACGAGAAACGAACGAACAAGTTGGTGGCAACTGATCAAACATCACTCAAGCATTTCTGTACGCGACAAAGCTTCTCTTCCTTCCCTTGGTAAACCATCGCCGCCTCAAAAGACTATGTTGTCTATCAAGTGTGGAATATGCATCCACTCTCTTCCCCTCCTTCTCCTATTGTCATCCACGAACTTTCGAACGAACAAAAAAACCAGCACGCTCACAAAGAATTACCTACCTCCTGTGTGTTCTATCCGAGACAGCTTACCATGGCACAGAACGAAGAAGGATCTCAGGCCTGACACTACCTATCAACAAGCATTGCAAGCATGGTGAGAGAAAAAGAAAAAAAAAACGATGTCTGTGCGGGACAGATCTGAGAGAATGCGATGATCTCAACAGCCCACAACGACTATGGTGTGCAAGCGATGAACCAAAAGTGTAGACGGTTTTGCGTTTGCGTTTGTGTGTACTTTAATTTTGGTTTTTGTTTTTTTTTTGTGGGTAAGGTTAGGAGAGATCAACAATGCATCCCCTTATGTGCTAATTCAGAGTCGAACAAAGGGAGTGAAGGGGCTTGCAATAACGTTTGCGCAGTTGCAGAGGTGAAATAAGGTAAGGAAGGAAACATAAAGACAGAACCGATGTTGGAAAGAAATGTTTAGGTTGATGCACGTATCATTGCGTGTATGAGGAAGAGGAGCAAGAACAATGAGCTAGATGACACTGTGAAAGCAACCCAATAGGACATAGAGTCGCGCTGTCCTTGGTACCGCTTGTGACTCTACAAAGTGAAGAGAAGAGACAGAATAGCAAAGATATTTATGAATGTCAACTCATGACCTACTTGTTTCTCATCAATAATTAGAGGTAGTGCAGTACCCATGGACAGCGCTAATAGAAGAGAGATAATATAGCCACACAATCGAACGAATAAGGATATGAATTAGTTCAAGCCGCCTCTGGTTCGGAAAATGTACCATTTGGCAGGGATAAGATACTTCTATGGGAACCCCTTCTCGACGCATGCATGGAAATATAGTTCCCTGCAGCAGCACACCCACCTCAGCATGTACCCTTACTCCAATACTATTGTCTCACTTTCTACTCCTCTTTTTTTTATCTCCTTTCGAAATGCTAAGCACACTGAGCTTAGAAAAGCAAACCTTGAAGGAGTGAGAGGAATGAAAGAGGCGGATGCAACACGAATAAACTTTCACTTAAAGAATTTCCAGGATGGACCTCTCGGGCCAAGTACAATCTGTGACATAAAAGATTTTCGGTCGGACTCATGGATGAAAGGATCTTCCTCGTACCCCTCCTTATCGATACCATTTCAAGTTCCATTGCTGTTATGCTCGTTGAAGGTTATAGTATCGATGAGAAGCGAAAACTCTATTGCCAGGGAAACCCGCAGTCTGCCAACCAACAAATAGTCCTATCCCAAGACCCATCTAATCCTTTGGGTTTTGGTTTCGGGATAGAGAAAAAGAGGGGAGAAAGTGTACCGACCATGTACTATCTTACATTGACCTAGAAAAAGCTAGCCTTCTGCTTAGTATCTAGGATGAAGGGAAGGGGAATGATTTCTTTGTTTTCTCGATCGAAAGACACGCAGGCTATTTTGTGTTAGTGTCCGAACACAACCGCACCATGTTCTCTTTTGAGTTGATAGGGACACAAGGGGCTGGATAAGCCAAAAAGGATTGCGTCACGAAGAAGGAAGTGGAGGAACAGACGGGAGAAAAAAGGTGATTGGTATTGAGGTCCAAGAGAAGAGAGAGAAGGAAAGGATGGAGTAGATCGCCCAATTGAATAGCCCATAAAGTTACAGTTTTTTTTTATTTCGAAACCGACTCAACTCCAACCATCCGAACAACTGATGCTCAAATCTTTTTTTTTTGTTGAAGAGCGTTGACTCCTATTCTTCTTTTGTTTTTCTCCATCCATGAAGAGAGGGTGAGAGAGGATGAGTAGGTTAAGGCACCGCCCCGGATGCCCTTTGGCCTGTCAATTCTTCTTTTTCTTCTTGTGGGTTACTCTATGTGTCGTCCCTCAACCCCCCCGCTTCGTTCAATAGGATGTCTTCCTTCTCACCCACTTTACTCTACTCTTTTGTTTTCCCTCTCTTGCTCCCTGGCAGGCAGTCAATCACACCCTTGAACGAGACACAGCATTTTTCTTTATGTTTGTGCCTCTAATCTGATCGGGAATAAGGCAAACTATGAATTCTCATAGCAACAAAGACAAACCAGCTTCCCCGCTTTTTTGTTGCCTTTCATTCACTCACACTCACTATCCCTTTCACCAATAGGGTCTCTCAAAGGGACGTACAAGGGAGTATGTACAAAAATCCCATCCGTCTCTCCCTTTCTCCTTTCTCTTTCTCTTTCTTACTCTTTCTCTCGCGTCCTGGCGCTCGTCATCTCCGACCAGCCCCTTTCAGGAAATAAAAAGAGCTACTTCGGGTCTGGTACCTTCCATTTGATAGTTGACCGTCCTATCACCGAATGCCGACCATGTTTTATTTGTTCTCTCGGTTCTCCCCTTCCTCGCCCTTTTCATCAATTCTAACTACTCGTTGAGCTTTTGTTTGTTTGTTTGTTTTGATCGTGTCAACCGGACAATTACACTTTTGCACTTTTGTGATCTTCTCTTCTCCATGAATCTTCTTTTTATGTTTATGTGCTAGATACTCAAAACGGTTTCTCGGAAATATCGCATGGTAGGCTATAGTTTGTACACAACACTGATCTTATGCCTGACTGGTTCCCTGAAGGTTCCTGATTAATATTTTTGCCGTACGCGAATGGAATTTCTCCTCATTCGCCCATTGTTTTGATTGTTCTTGGTTCTATTGTCATACTCATACACGCACGTCTGTCTTCCTTTTCGTTCGCCGACTGGTACGTTCGTTTCTACGACAACGATTAGATAGGTGGAAGAGGAAGGGAGAGGTCTGATGGATGTTGAGAGGAGGGATTAAGGATCGGATGCGATTCAAAGAAATCAGAAAACAAATGGTTGGTTCGGTTGGTTGGTTCATGGTTGTGGTGCCTTTCTCATACACTTTAACAAAAGAACACTAGATAATGCTGCATATACATTGGACTGTTACCCTTTTAGATTACAAAGACAGTGTGCTCTCGCAAGCTTCACATCCCACCCAGCCCTTACTTCCATCAAAAACAACCAAACTCTCATACGCCACCTTGTCAACCGTGTGGGGAAAAAGTGCGCCAAAAGGGCAGAAAGAAATCTGTGTAGGTTAGCGGTGGTCCGAATGACTGGTCACTCGCAAAATGAGAAAACAGCAGAAATATCCAGAAAGAGGTGGGGCACTCTGTCGGAGGTGCAGTAGGAAGGTGGAGAATGATTGTCCACTCTAGCCTGCTTTTGCTGTGTTTTTCTTGTATTCACTTGTGTGCAGCGTAGCGCTTCCTCCTTTCTCCCTCCCCTGTCCTCCCTCACGACTCGACCCCACTCATATCTTGGCTTTACGCCCAAAGACTAGCCCTTTTCATGAAATACTCTAGAACAGAATATCCGACCGTAGTTTCCAAGGGGAAAAAGAGGTAGGCTGCGAGAGCATTCTTCTCTCTCTCCCTCTCACTCTTTTGTGTGGGCTCATGTCCAAAAGCAACATTAAGAGTCTCTTGTCGCCCTTCCCTCAAGCCACCTCACCCAGCGCCTCTTCCATCCCCTCGCCCTCTGTTGTTCATATCCACCAATCGCGATAACCCTTGAGTAGAAAAACAACAATGGTTTGTCATCTTGCAGAAAAAAAGAGAAAGCCAAGAAAAATAAAAGCACAAGGACACCTCCAGACAGGGGGATAGAGAGAGAAAAAAAGGGAGAAGGAGAGAGCCCTATATTTTGGGTCCGTCTCAATGCAGTAAAAAAATTAATGCAAATGTGCTCTCTCACAGCCGATCGCCTCTGCTTGGTGCCCGGCTGTATTTTATGCGTTGTCTTTGTCCTCCTTCTATTCATCCAATCACTTCATGCTCTTTTTTCGGTTCTGGATGCAGTCCATTTTTTTTTCCATTCATTTCATTTCGCTTCGCATGTTCATGCCGTCTCGGATTCACCCATAATTTGTTTTTGCTTTGCGCCAACACATGGCGTTGAGTTGGAACAGAGGTCATCCGTTCATGGTACTAGTTCATAGCATTATTTCTCTCGAGGCGTTGTTCAACGTGAGGGTAAACAATGTTTCTTTCTCTTCATCTTCTTTCACCTCTCGTTCTTATCTCCTTCCCTCCTTACTCCAACCATCTCTTGAGCATGAGCCTTACTCGTCTAACACCTTGTCCCCAGGAGCATGCAGACTCGTTGTTTGCGTTTTCTTTTTGCTGATCAACCTACAGCTCCAAAGGTACAATCAGTAACTGATAAAACAATTAAAGTTTTCCTTAATTTTTGATTCAGGACGTTTTTTTTAATCACTTAACTTCTTTTCTGTCCATCTGCTCACATAAAAACAAAGTGATCGAAGACAGGCAAGTTAAGAGAGACAAACAGGCTTAACGCCTTTTTTTATTTTCCTTGCTTGCAGGGAGGGGTACATGCAAGGATGTACGCCCTGTTGTGTGTTTTTTCTTTCTTTTTTGTTGATGTTCCTGCTTCTGCTGCGTGCATATGAGCTGAGCAAGTTGGAGAATACTACTGTATGAGACAGGACAGGCCCGAGGTGTGACAAGGCCATTTTCTTCCTACCCCCATTCTCTTTCTCTCTCTCTCTACCCTTTCCGAGAGCCACAGAGGAGCCAGGGCTGCATTGCTTAGCGCAAAATGCAT